GGGATTATTATAAAAACTTGAAAAATTTTACAACTTCTGCTATAAGAAATGAGAAAAAGGCCTATCTAGAATACTGTATAAATAAATCCAAAGGTAATGGTAAAATTTTTTGGAAAAAAATTAAAGAATTTAATATATCTGCAAAATATCCCATGAATTCGATTCCTATTAGCCAGATGAAATTAATAATCATTTTTTAGGTCCGTCGGCACGTAATAAAGAACCAGACACTGATCTAATTGAATTCTATAGTAATAACCTAAAGGATAATTTATGTTCTATATTTTCATTCAGTGTTGTCAGTACTCCAGTCGTATATAAGTATTTGGTCGAAATAAAGTCTGTAGCTTCGGGAGCGGATCAGTTAAATATTCACATGCTACTTCTTTGCTGTCCTGAAATTTTACCTATAATTACACATATCATAAATGTTTGCCTCACCGATTGCATCTTTCCGGAATCTTGGAAGCTATCAAAAGTCTTTCCCTTGCCCAAGAAAAAGAACGTTACTAGTGTGAACGATTTGCGTCCCATCTCTATCCTACCAGTGTTATCCAAAGTGATTGAAAAAATCATGAAATTTCAATTAAATATTCATTTAAAAAATAATTAAATACTTCCACTGCGACAGTCAGGTTTTCGTTCTGGCTATAGTTGTGCTACAGCTTTACTGGATGTCACTGATGATCTCTTCAGGGATATTGATGTCAAAAAAACGGCAGCACTTGTTATGCTAGATTATTCCAAAGCATTTGATACTATTAATCATAAAATTTTACTCTCAATATTACATTTTATTGGTTGCTCTAATGATGTTATCAGACTTTTTAATAGCTACCTGTATAACAGGAAACAATTTGTGGTTACTGATGCAGGTTCATCAAATACTAAGCAGATTTCCTGTGGAGTTCCTCAGGGATCAATACTTGGGCCATTATTATTTTCACTATATACCTCCAACTTTGAGAATAGCATTAGGAATGGTAAGCCATTTTTTTATGCTGACGATACTCAAGTTAAATTTTCTTTTAATCATAATGATTCCTTAGAAGCTAATAATCATATTAATGAAGATCTTGACAGACTAGTTAAACTTTCAAATATTCATCAACTTAATATTAATCCAGCTAAGAGTGTAGTAATGTTATTTGGTAAATACCGACATCAACTACAAAATGAAATGCAGATTCTAGTTGATGGGAATATTTTATCATTTTCCACATCTGCTCGCAATTTAGGTTTAGTAATTGATAATGACTTGAGGTTTAAACTTCACGCTAACAAGTGCATCCAAACAGCATACATGAATTTAAAAATGCTTTACCCACATCGACATGTTCTTCCAACTACAACAAAATTGTTATTAACAGATTCCCTGGTTCTGAGTAATTTTAACTTTTGTGATTCAGTTTATGGGCCCTGTTTAGATAACGCAGACATAATTAGAATTCAGAGAGTACAGAAATCTTGTTTAAGATTTTCTTATGGAATACGGAAATTTGATAGAGTCTCTCATAAACTCAAGGATTCAAACTGGCTAGATATGCAATCCAGACGAAACTTACACTCGGCTAATTTGTTTCATTCTGTTATTTTACATAAATCCCCTCCATATCTTTTTAATAAAATAATGTATCGTTCTGATGTTCATAACCTCAATCTACGTTTTTGTGGTCGTATCTCACCTCCAATACATAATACTGCTATTTTCAGACGGTCTTTCACTTATAATATTTATGCAATGTACAAGGTTATCCCACAACATTTTAAAGAAATGTCTGTAAGTAAATTTAAAAAATTTTACAAAAAGTTTCTTCTTGACACAGCAGAGTGATAGCTACTTTTTAGAATGTTTATACTTTTTTTTCTCACTATCATTTGTGTTTATATTTATATTGTTTTTTGTACGATGTCCTGTGGCGTTGGTAATACTCAGGGCTGGTGCTTTGATCAGTATCCACTGTTCACCAGTCCTTTTTGCAGCCTTCTTTGGCACTTTTTTTCTGAATATTTTTATATGTATAAAAAACTGGAAGTTGCAAATAAAGTTTATTATTATTATTATTATTATTATTATTATCTTACTATGTTCCGTCTATGAAAATATCATCAGCTATGTAGCTTCTGATGATACCGTTTCTTACTTGATTAAAACAAAATAGCTAATTAAATAATAATTAAAAAACAAAAAATGAAAAACAAAACGGTCAAGCTATCTATAAATTCCTATCACCTGATTTTCTGTAAAATCTTTCGCTTAGGTTTCTCACACCGTATTTTTTCTATCTTTAATGTTTTCATTTTTGCATACATAAGATCTTAACAAAATCATGTTTGCCATGCATGTCAATTGTAACTTGTCACCAATATTTCGGTTATAATATGTAACATCTAATATTACAGTACCTTTTTAGCTTTAAATAATTTAAAATTAAATAAATATTATGGTTCGTTATACTGAAGAAGAGAAGTAAGATATGTATGATGTGTACATAAGATGCTATAGTAATGAAACCCGGTCAGCTCAGATTTATTTAGATTTATATCCTGATAGACAACAGCCATCTAAGGGGATGTTTTCTTATATTTCAAAAAATATGGCAGCGCATAGCAGTGTGAAAAAAAGGAGAACTAGATATCAGGTTCGACATACTGATAATGAAATTAATGTTCTTGCCCAAATACATATTAAATACATAGCTAAAGAATGTGTAGTAGGAACCTCCACGGTTAAAAGAATTTTAAAGGAACATAAATACCAAGGGTATAAATTTCAAAAAGTCCAGAAATTACACGCTGGAGACTGATAAAAGACTGATGTTTTGTCGTTGGTATAGTAGAAAACTGCGCAATGACCGTTCTTTCAACAAAAAGATATTATGGACGGATGAATGCTCCTTTACTAATAGTGGAATATTTAATCTCAGGAACAAGCATTTGTATGCTACTTCTAATCCCCCTTTAATCAGAGAAGTTAGACCACAGTTCCGTTTTACCCAAAATGTGTGGTGTGGACTAATTAATAATCAGATTATTGGGCCGTTTTTTTTTTTTATGGTAATTTAAATCAGTTCCGATACCTACATTTATTGAAGGAAGTAGTACTCGATGAGATGCCCTTACAAACAAGACTAAATATTCAATACCTTATGCAAGACGGTTGTGGTGCACACAATGCTAGGAGGGTTGCAGAGTATCTCGATCAATATTTTAGAGGTAAATGGATTGGTTCCAATAGACCAATAAGATGGCCTCCTCGATCTCCGTGTCTTAACCCCATGGATTATTTTGTATGGGGCTTCGTAAAGAACTAAACCTACGACAGAAATATGCCTAAATAATCTACAAGAATTTCGTCAACGAATAGTAGATGCATTTGAAAAAATTACACCAGAAGTGGTTGATAAAACTACATCCCAAATGTCTAGGAGAATTGCACTCTGTATCCAACAGAATGGACTACATTTTGAGCAACTATTGTAACTGTTTTTGTTTTTGAATTTTGTTTTTGTTATTAGCTTTATTATTTGTAGAATGTGTACAACCATAATTCGCTCTTCATTAGTCTTGTTTGCTGGTTGTACTTAATCATGTTTGATAAAAAATTGTAACCCATTTTGTAATTAAATAATTCTTGCATTATGTTTCAAATAATATTTAAAATTTCACATTTTAAGCATTTTTTGTTTTTTAATTATTATTTAATTAGCTATCTTGTTTTAATCAAGTAAGAAACGGTATCATCAGAAGCTACATAGCTGATGATATTTTCATAGACGAAACGTAGTAAAATGGTAAAATGTAACATATCGTTGTATTTAGCTATACAAAAGCTATAAAAAATTACAGTTAAAAATCCAGGTCTGTATTTAAAAAAATAAGTTGAAGGTGGCCCTGCAAATACGAATCGTCGCAATAAAAATTTTGACAGCAGATTATAGGGAATTTGATTTATAACAAAAATTTTTTTGTATCTTTTATAATAACAACGCACGACTAAAAAAACGAATTTGAGGTTTTCGGATTTTATCGAATATCTCTGGAACCAGTCAGAAAATCTGGAACTTCTATGGACCATTGTATTATCCGTCAAAATAAGAAACATTTTCCCCATTTAACCGACAATGTATATTTTACGGTTTACGAGATCTCTGTATACGCAAATTAAATCCGGGCCACCCTGTATAGTATTTACATCCGTAGAATTTAAGTTCCAATTACATGATATTAAGTCGAGTTTAATTTTATCTAAGTTTTACTAAAGTTTCTATACATTTTAGTGGTTATATTTATGTCTTTGTTGTTATTACTAGGATTAACAGATATTATAGAATAGTCACTAATTTTCGGAGTATGATGAACTGTAGCATTAACAAAATTATTATTAACTAATACATAATCTATCAAAGTTTTACTATTATTTGTAATTCGTGTAGGCTCAGTGATTAATTGGTCAATTCCATATTGTAAAAACATTGCTTTAATTTTATTACTATAAAAACAGTCATTTGTATAATCAAAGTTAAAATCGCCAATTAACAAACAGCGTTGATTATTAGCAAAAATAGAATCACATATATTTTCCAAACTGTCCAAAAATACAGCATCAGAACTTGATGGTGAATGATTATTATCAATATGGCCATCATATTGTTGTACAAACTACTATTTCCAATTTTCTTTTAAAGCAATTAAATCAACATTTTTTCAATTTTCATCCATATGTAATTTTCTTTCTTCACAATTAATGACGGTTTTCTTTTTTTAACTAAATAAAAATAACTCATCAGATTATATTATTACTTGTTTAAATATTTGGAACAACTAGTATTTGTAAATTAAATGTAAGTACATCAGTATTGACTGATTTATTTATTTCACATATTTTTTTAAAATTGTACATATTAAATTAATTGTTGTAATTTTAATAAATTCATTTTCTAATATATTTAATGCAAAATTGGTAAACTTAGAACAACGCGATTATAATCAAAACTTACCCTTCTCAGCAAAGGATAAATGGACCTATTGTACTTGTCTAGAATCAAAGGAAGATGCATATTGTCCAACGAGTTCCATTCTTTTGATCTCCTCTTTAAATTGTAGTACTTGTAGACCACGATCGTCATGGCAATTAGCAGAGCGGTACCTGTGCCCAAAGCAGCGCCAAGGACTGCCGTCCCCACCATTATCTACTAAACAGAAGAAAACGTTAAAAAAATTACAAAAAACGAATCTTAGTGATTCTACCAGAAAGAGAAGAGATTTAAAATATTTGAATATTTAAAAAAATCCTATTTATATGGAATAACGCGATTAAAAAAAATATAACTATGTTATAATAGTAGGACTTGTGGAAATATTCTTTTTGCAGCAAAATTTACTAAAATTTATCCTTTAGCAATTAAATTGTCAAACAAAAAACTATAAAGAGATGAAGCAAATCCACAAACTATACGAGCCCAAACAATTAGATGAATTTGTTTCCATTCTTCCTAATTCGGAGATATAATTTCATAATGTACACCAGTGAAAATATGTATATATTTTTTTAAATAATATTTTTTGTATAATTTAATAATTTTTAAATACGATGAATACTAGATGTCTCCGTAAAATGGACCATAAATGAAACTATACCCTCACACCTTGTACCCTACGGTACCCTGAAATAAAACGGTTGAGAGCCGGTAATAAAAAAAAGAAACAGGAATTATTAACAAAAGATATTTTGAAATAAAATAAAAATACTATAAAAAACTCGGGATACTATATTCGGTACCACGGACACTCCCTGTGTAATAGAAATTGATTTTACGATTAAATAATTGTTTAAACACAAAAGTTAAATAATAAGAATTATTAAATCAAAAGAAATAAATCAAACGGTAGTAAGGTACTCCTTGTATAATAGAAAATTACTTTTCAATTAAGAATTATTTTATTAAATCAAAAGAAATAAACCAAACGGTAATTTGTTGTCTTGCTATTAAGAGTAATTTTGACTTCAAGGATTTAATAGAACTGATAACATTTTTAGAACGAAGCCGTTTTGAAATGTCTTCTTTTTTCCATCCTGTTGTAGGTAGTCATTCCTTTAATCGACTGTGATAGGATGCATTATCCAAAACAATTTTTTTTTTTTAATCTTCTGAAACCGATTTTCAAACATAGAGTATCAATTTCTTCATGGTAGTCTCTTGTTTTCTTTGATTCGAACAATAATAAACCATCTAGCAAAATTCATCGGTGCTTCTAATATAGGTTATTATTAAACGATTTTCTTTTCCAATTGAATTTTTTAATCCACAAGAAACCCCTTCCATAAAGGCTTTTTTTGTTTTAATGGAGGTATATTGCCAAATTCTTGTTATTGTATGTTCAGTATTAACACATGTTTTATCTAAATAAAATACCTGTTTATGGCGATTCCTTAAGTCCGTTATTTTCCTTAAATAATCATGCCTCCACGCAATGATTTCGTCTTTCTCTATTGAAAAACTGTCACGTTTTTTGTCACGAAAATTTAATTCATGTAATTTTTTTGCAGATAAAAATATGAGAGTGTAGGAATTTCATTTCGAAAGAAAAAAAAATGTATCATTATTTGCCTTATTACATTCTTTACTCATATTTCAATAAATATCTTGTTTCTTTCTGGGGGCTTTTCCGGATGTGACACTTCTCCAATAATTTCTATCTGGATATCCAGATAGAAATTATTCTACGATAAGAACTCGTACATTATTTTACGAAATATTTGACTACAGACACTACTGGTTAGGAAGTCCCGCAGTACAGAATTTGACCGCAAATCTTTTGGAGACTCTGTTCTTAACCAAATTCTATTTTTATAAGTTAACCTGCCCTTCGTTTGATATAAACTTTCAATAATAATGTATAATATTAAATTTAAAACCAAAAAAGGGTTTATTTTTATTTGTTTTTTTTTTTTCGTAACTGGTGGCATAATTTTTCGAAACCAATTTCATAATGTTCCATATTATGCAACTAATTACGTAAAGTAGATGATTTTGATACTAGCTGCGATTACAAAAAATGTCACTGTGTATGTTAAAATTAGAAAAATCAGTTTTTCAACTATTTAAATGGATTTAAATAATTTTGTTATATAGGATGTTGTTTTGATATACAGGGTGTTTCATTGAAAAAGGGAAATATTTTAACCCTATAGAGGTCACTCAGGAATCATAAAAAACCCATATAGTATGGGTCTTGCGACCTTTATAAATAAAAAGTTGATAAATGTATTCAACTTTTTATGTTCTTTACAAATTTGCAATTCAATTTTTAAAAATTTGATGTATAGGGTGTTGTTATATGGTGGGTCAAATTTTAATAATTTTTGTCAAGCCGGACCTGGATTTTGAAATTTTTTAATGTGTCTATAAATTGTCCTATATGTGTGATTATCTATGCAAAAATATACTGAGTGATTCAAAAGTTATGGAGCACGGAAGAAATGGGTCAAATTCAACTCGGTTATAAAGGTCGCAAGGCCCATACTATATGGGTTTTTTGTGAGTCCCTGGGTGACCTCTATATAGGGTTAAAATATTTTCCTTTACCAATGAAACACCCTGTATTTATTGATTTTTTGTTAATTCGAATCTGGATATTTTTTATAGCTAGTACGTTAGTGGTTTGCCAACATATCTATCAAATATTAAAAAAAGCATACTGAATAATCAGCTAGTTATGATATTTAAAAGAAATAAGCAAAATCGGTAAAAAAAAAACCCTGTAATTCAGTAATATAGATTGTATGATCCATTAAAAAATATAGTCTATCTTCCCTTAATTATGAAACATACTATATTCGCGATAAAATAAGAATGTTTGTTTAATAATAATGTACAATCAGTATCGAATATCAAAAAACAGCACAAAAACGCAAAGCAAACAATGATCCAACGTCAAAACAAAAAAATTATAAAGAAAACGGACTTACTAAACTCTCAAAACTTCTAACAGCTGTTCCTGATTATCCGCTATATGTTTTTGCGTATACGACGGTCGAAAATATTGTTCTAGTCGCGAAAGCCGGGATAAGAGAAGACAACAACTTGAATGGAGATGGGAAAATGCGAAGGGAATATCACACGTTGACGTTGCACGTTATCATCGTCGAACATCGTCTGGATTCGTAAAAAAATAATCTATCTCCCTTTCTTCGATAACAACATTGACTGATTACGAATAATACGACGAAAGGTTCCAGGATGAATTTTCTCTCTGGTTGTTATCAAGGTTATTCCTATTTATAACGCCGGGATCCTGTAACTCGTGGAAACCCTTCGCGCGATCGCCGACCAGTTCATTTCCAAACGAATTTAAGAAGGAAAAACGGAAAACACAAGCCTTGACGTAGGTACGTTGAAGAAAATAAATCGCTCTTACGGTAGAGGATATGGATTATAACAAATTATCATAATTCTTGTGAGGAAAGAGAACAGGAAAATCGTAATCACGTGTATTTACCATAAGACAAAAGAAAACTGTATAGGAATAGTCAAAAATAAAAACATACAAATTAATAACTAGAGATTATAGATTATAGATTTTTGTTGGTTACTGTGTACAAATTGTATTGGTTTAATTTGTTTAGTCTACACCAGGGATTCCCAAACTATTTTGGACAGAGACCCCTTGTCCAAAATGAACTGATACCTTAGACTAGAGGTTCCCAAACACTTTTGTTTCATAGACCAATTTCAAAATTTTGCTGGATCACTACCAATTTCTAAATCTCGAAAAAAAAAAGTGAAGATTAGATCTATCTATAGAAACTTGCCCTCTTTTAAATGTCACTTTCAGCTCCTCGTTAGTGCTAAGTTCGAGTAGCTCCTCTTGTAATATCACATTCTCTACTTCCGTTTCATCAAATGGATTTATGATCCATGGTGGTATTTCCATCGACAGAATATCTTCAAATCTGAATTTAAAACCTTCATGCAGGGCAATCAAATGTTGAACGTATGTCTGAATATCTCCATCAAGGCATTCTACCTGCGACAATTTTGAAAACTGTGAAAATTCGCGCCGACCAATATTTTGCCTCATAAATTTCAATTTACCTGAAATTACACTCTTTGTTTTTATTTACTTTAAAAAACTCTAAAACTGAGTCAAAAAGTAAATAAAATCTTGATAAACACGCACCTTGCGACTGACTACCAGCGTACTTCGGCATGTAACAGCAATCGTTGGAAGTCTTCATCATAATAATTGCATGGTTACAGGTTGTTTCCCAAATGTTTTCAAGGTAGGTATTGTTAAACCACTGCATAAAAAAGGGAGTAAGTCAGAGATGTCAAACTATAGACCTATTTCATTGATATCCAACATAGCAAAGATTGTCGAAAAAGTCCTTAAAAAGAGAATAATACATTTTTTGGTTAAACATGGAATTATAAATAAAAAAAATTTTTTGCTGTCACTTTGTAGAGGACTGTCAATTATAATTTCTAAAAAAAAAAAAAACACATTTCTTAACTAATAATTTAAACAATAGATATATTAAAAAAACGATTATAAACAATTAAAAGTTATTATTAAGAAAATTTTTTTTTTAAAATCATAATTGACAATTATTTATTGATTGGTATAGTTAATATGTATTCGAAATTCGAAGTAATGGTTATGACGTAGTTGTGTTCTTCTAATTGTAATCGGATCCTATAACCTCTTGTCTTAGCAGGGACATAAATTACTATTGTATATTAATATAAATTTTTAAGAGAATTTCTCTGCATAAATTTTCTTTTACACGCAGATAAAATATATTTACATGGCATCCAATGCGGCAGTTAATTTTGATAAACTAGTTATCTTACCTTCATAGAAATCAATATATTGGTACACACGAGTATCCACTTTAAACACAGAAAAATATCGTGAATTACGATATTGACAATATCAATAAATGTTAACCAATACCTAAAATTAATTGGACTCAAACATATTGTTGTATTTTTAGAATCAATTAAATGTACGAGTAATTTCGACCAAATTAATATACAGAGAATTTCAGTTATTAAAGCGAATAAGATGTGGCCGAATAAATATTTAGAAGTAAATAAAATACTCAACAAAAGAATTTGTACACATTAAATACACAAAATATTTGATTTTGATCAATGACATTAATGACATCCAGAATCTACTCGATTTCTTTTTTTTTTTATTAAATAACATTAATTTACTATTAACACGTTATATGCCATGTAAAATATTTGATATCATCCTACACGCGAATATAATATACATTTTAAACAAAAATTAGCCAGTTTTCCAATTATGCTTATCAGATGAGGCACATCCACTCTGAATTTTAGAATTTTCGCTTAAACGATTATTTTCAATTAATCGATTACTTTCAACAAATTTATTGTTTTTATTAATCGGTTTTTTTCAATCAATTAATATATTATTTTCAATTAAACTATTATTTTCAGTTAATCTATTATTTTCAATTAATCGATTATTTTCTATTATTATCGATTTATCCATTATTTTAGTTTAATAAATTACTTTCAATTAATCGATTATTTTCGACTTATCAAATAATCGATTTGTTCGATTAATTGATTTTTTCGATTAATCGATTATTTTGGATAAATCGATTGGTTTCGATTATTTTTGATTGATTATTTTCGATTATAAAATATTTTCTAATAATCGATTTTTTCAATTAATCGATTATTTTTAATAAATCGATTATTTTCGATAAATCGATTATTTTTTATAAATCGATTATTTTCGACAGGTCGATTATTTTTGATAAATCGAATAATTTTGATTACTTTTTATTAATAGATTACACTCGATTACTTTTTATTAATTGATTACTTTTGATTAATCAATTATTTTCGGCAAATCAAATAATCGATTTGTTCGATTTATTTTTTCGATTAATTGATTATTTTGGATACATCGATTGATTTCGATTATTTTTGATTGATTACTTTCGATTATAAGAGATTTTAGAATAATCGATTTTTTCAATTAATTGATTATTTTTAATAAATTGATTATTTTTGATAAATCGATTATTTGCAATTAATTGATTACTTTCAATAAATTTATTGATTTTATTAATCGGTTATTTTCTATTAATCGATTATTTTCAATTAATCGATTATTTTCAATTAATCGATTATTTTCAATTAATCGATTATTTTCAATTAATCGATTATTTTCATTTACTTGATTACTTCCAATAAATTTATTGATTTTATTAATCGGTTATTTTCAATTAATCCATTATTTTCAATTAATCGAAAATATTCGATTATTTCAATTAATTGATTATTTATTTTGATAAATTTGTTTATAATGAAAATGTCATTCTGTGAAATCCATAATATTTCAATTTCCCAACCAACTTCAATTATGAGTTTTCTCGTTGGTAAGAAACCGTTGATTTATGTTAATTCAAATCAAGCATCACAGAATCACAAATGACGAAATCATTCAAGGTAATCCTGCTAAATTAGACATCCATTCATACTTATGAATCAACGTTGTAAACATTCTAAACGTTAGAAACTCAATTTTATAAACAAATTAATGTATTTATCAGAGATAAGAAAGATACTAGGTACATAGATAACATTTTTGTACCAAAATTAGAGGTTACATTGCACCTTTCAACGAGACAATTGTTTGATTTTACAAAAAAATATATTACAATTAAAAATTCCCAATAGGTAAGTCTTCATTATGATTTTTATTTAAAAAAAAATGTTCAGTTTGTAACTATTGTTTTTTTGACCTGCTATAAATTCATATAATTATAATCAATCTAGTTAAATAAAGTATTATATTTTATTATTCATCATCCTATTATAATGAACTTCAATTTGTTTACAATTTAAAACACTTTTTTTGTAGTCAATTATGTCACAAGAAACTTTCAAACACTTCTGCGACTGTCTTTACAAATGCGCAGAAAAAATTGAAGAAGAATTGAAGACCAACATTCTAGATACCGAAGATTTAATAATAAAAAGCGAAACAATCGACGTTAAATTACCATTACAAAAAGTCAAGATTTATCACTACAACGAAATACTACAAATAATGAACGGTATTAAAATTAACATAAAAAAAATCGTTTACCACGATAATTGTATCAAGAAATTAGAAATTACCAGGAAGCTGTCGGAAGATGAAGTAAAGAACTATTTTGCAATCAAGAGTAAAAGTACCGAGGATTTAACTTCTACAGAACCAGTTAGAATGAGACATTCCAGAAGAGCATCATCTACAACTTTATACGAATACACTCTAAGCACTTGGGAGGCCTATTTGCAGAAGAAGGAACAACAGATTGACGTAACGCAGACTAAATCGACTGTAGCCAAACGAAGTGCACCCAAAACCAAAAGGAAGCAAAGAAAATTGGTATCCTCTACATTTAACGATATTTTAGATACAGAAAATAATGACGATTTTGATATTGAAGCTAGTAGTAAAACTAATTATATTCAAGAAGTGGATGAGGATGAAGAGGAAAATTGTACTGTATCAGTTAGTTCTGAAGATGAACCTGCAGTTGATGATTTAGATAATAATTACTATTCAAATAATGATACAAAACCTAAAATAGTGGATTTCACAGTAAGCGTTTATAATTTATACATATATTACAATTGAAAGGAATAAATTTATAATTTTGTTGACTTCAGAATATCCTGAAACTTCATACAATTTGATACACAACATTTCCTTGAGAATATCAAATAACCAGTTAAATAAAAAGATTTATTTAAAATTAAAATTGATAGATCATTTTACTTTTGATAAAAAGATGATTCCGAAAATTCTATAATGTTTAAAATTATTTATTGTTTCGGCCTTTACTTGATGAAAATCCATTTAATTTTGAAAGAGTAAAACCAAATTTGGTAGATTTTCACACTTTTATTGAAAATCTACCAAATTTGGTTTTACTCTTTCAAAAATATAATGTTTAAACTCACACCTACAACAAATATTTTTTAAATTTCGTATTAATTTTAATTTTTTTTTTAGTACAAGAAAAAAAGTATCGAAGAAGATTGTATACGACAGGATTGATTTACGGATGTATTAATGAAACATTAAAGGGCTTTACTGTTGTTTTTGAGAGACAAATTAATGGAGGAAGAAGTCTGAAAAATATTAGATTTAATCATTAACAATGTTTAAGTTTTAAAATACAAAATTTTAATGTTTAGTTTTAAAAAAATATAAAAATGAAATAAATATACGTATTAGATAACCTTGCAGTCTAAATAAATTTTGTGTACACCTTTTAATCATTAAGGAGCATTTTTTGACGTAAAAGATTTTTTAAATTTTACCAGTTACGCCCGTACGGTGTTTGAACTGAATATTTTTGAAGAAAACAATGGTACGTCACTGCTTTTTCAAAAAACCAAAATTATTTTTGAAATCCTCACTTATTCTGTAGCAAATTTAATTCATAGACTTATTTCCACACGACGCACCGTTTTAGAGGAAAAAAATAAAAACAAACATTTTTTTTCTTAAGTTCATTGAAACTGCTTTTGATATTTTGTAAGCACTCACCATGCGTGGAAATACTTTTTTTGAGGCAAAATTTCATAAAAATATCTGCAGTGATAATAAAATTATGATATAAAAGTTATTTGTTCTTAAAACTGTAACGACAAAAAAGTTTACGGCATATATTGTTATTAATGTTATGTTTGTTTGTTAATAATTAATTTGAACACTTATTTATTTTAAAACAATATTATTCTAATTTATATATATTTCGAATGTCTTTAAATTGTTCACTATACATGGTGATTCATTAGTGTGAAGTGTGAAAAAGTCTAATATCTCCGGCAGTATTAGAGATATAAAAAAATATTTTCACAGAACGGTAGACAGCGTGAAACTACATATTTTAAAAATCTCTAAAAACTATTAACTTTTGGTAAGTCAAATTAAAGTATAATTAGGATACTTTTGAACGATGATATAAAATACAGGGTCAACCATTTAAAAAATTGAGAAAATAATGTATTTGTTTTGACTCACCCTGTACAGATTTGATGCGAATTGAAAGAAGTAGTGTCTCCGGATAAAATTTGACCAAGATCGAAAAATTGTGGTAGAAAAAAAATTGGTTGTCAATTGTTTCTTTTGCATGATATAGGTCATTGAATTCAATACGATTTTCATACAAAACTGATTATATCCTGCAAAATACCCTGTATAAACCAATAATAATTTATATTTTTAGAATATGAAAAGCGAGGGTAATTCAAATATAAAATAAAATACAGGGTGATCCATTCAAAATAACATAAGTTGGATCCTGAGAGAAGTTATTAAACACCCTGTATATTCAAAAATAATTTTAAAATATGTAGTTTAACGCTGTCTACGGTTCTGTGAAAATATTTTTTTATATCTCTAATAATGGCGGAGATATTGGAATTTTTCACACTAATAGATCACCCTGTATATCTTCACAACTCTATGTATACGACTGACTGCACTGTGTTCTTTTACTAATATTTATATACACATTTAAAATTCTGGTGAAGGTCTAAAAGGTTCTCGCCAAAACTAGTATTATCCCGTTCGTTCTGGAATAGTAATCGAAAGCGCCTTCGCCATAATAGTCACATATGTTTGATCTTAAGAGGTTTAATTATGTATGATAATCGGACAAGTTGAGCCTCAAAGGCCAAATAAGACAGAGATGGACTTGGAGGATTAGAGCATGACTGAATAACGAAATGGCTCGCATTACATTGACTTTTGGTAAATTTATTACAATTTACAAAAATGTACGGTTTCTTTATAAATATTAACGGACAAGGTAGTGTATTTGTATGGATCGCTATTGTCAATTTTATTAGTAAAAGAAAAAAAACCTATGTGCGTGTAGATAAAGGTTACTTACATCTGTGTTCCGCTGGAACCTCTTTTTTAAAATTTTATTTAGTTTTTCAATAGATAAAAATGGAAAAGTCTGTTTATTTAGTCAAAAGTTAACGATTTTTTTTATAAAAATTTAATCAAATTTTGAAAAAGTGGCTCTGTAGGAATAGAGACTGAACTTTCTCCCATATTTTTTTTTTAATAAAAATAAACATTACAAGTGATGTATCTACTATAGGTATTTCGTATTAGTTAGATAGAGACAATGGGCGTGTTTAATGAAATTCAAAAAATATTTTTTTAAAGCTAACACAAAATCTAAAAAAAAAAAATTAAAATTATTATTTTTTTTTCAAATTTTCCTATAAGATTTTTTTTAAATTCCAAAAAATTCAAGCAAATTTGAAACGCTACGTCTGACTGGCTAATTTATAACATTCCAGACAGTAGTCAATATGTTTTACCTTGTTGCCGCTTCTTATAAAGAATAATTGAAATTCCGGATAATCGACAATTTAAAGCAGTATTTCCCAAAGTGGTCTAGATGAACCCCCAGGGGTCCACGGGAGACTCGACGGGAGTCTACGTTGGGCGTAATAAAAAATGGGGGTCCACAATCGTAAGCGAGGGTGCATGAAAATTAATTTGGTTTCGATAGTGAAGCAATATACTATTAAACAATTGATTACTCATTTTTCCATGTGATGAAGAAATTCTTGTAAAAAACTTTGTTTATTTCATAATATTTATAATAATTGATTAACCATATTATGTTAAAATAGCCATATCCTGTTAAGTTCGAATCGCCTTAAGATTACTAAAACGAAGTTTTTTTTTTATTTATTTACTTACACATTTACAGGTAGGTAATTGATAAAAAACATGGCCGAATCTAAGAAGAAGTGTCGTCAGTTCAGTGTTAAATATTTAAAATATAGTTTTCTTCCATCAAAGGCAGACAAACGATTGCCCACATGCCTTTTATGCAACAAAGTTTTGAGCAATGACTCTATGAAACCAGCAAAGCTGGAAGATCATCTAAGAAAGTGTCATCCTGATAAAATAGGTAAAGATTGGAAATATTTCCAAACATTAAAGGAAAAATATTAAAAGAGACCCACCGTGCACAGTATGTTCTCTTCAACGTTTGAAAGCAACGATGATGGCTTGCAGGCATCTTACAATATCTCATTACTTATCGCAAAATCTGGAAAACCTCACACCATTGGAGAACAGTTAATTTTACCTGCTGTTGAAGAGGTTTTAACAACTGTTCTGCACAAATCTTCATTTGACATACTCAAAAGAATTCCTTTGAGTAACAACACTGTACAAAGACGTATTGATGAAATGAGTTCTGATGTTGAAAGTTTGTTGTGTGATTATCTACGAACAATTCATTTTTCTATTCAACTGGAAGAGTCAACTTTACCTGGCAATGAAGCATTATTATTGGCATATGTTCGATTTGTTATGGGCAAAGAAATTCATGAAGAGCTACTATTCGCGAAAACTTTGAAGACGGACACTAAAGGTGAATCAATATTTAATGTTTTGAGTAATTTATTTAAAGAAAAATCGATTCCATTCACAAACGTTATTTCGGTGGCAACAGATGGAGCTCCTGCCATGGTCAGGCGATATCATGGGTTTATAAGCCATCTTAAAAGAATGATACCAGAGGTAATTGCGATTCACTGTGTTATCCACTGACGACATCTAGTAGATAGATTGCAACAATCGCTTCAATTTGTGATTAATGCAGTTAAGAAAATAAGAAGCAATGCATTGAATACAAGTTTATTTGCACAATTGTGCGATGAAAATGATAAAGACTTCCAACGATTGCTGTTACATATCGAAGTACGCTGGTTGTCGAAAGGTGCATATTCATCAATATATTATTTACTTTTTGACTCAGTTTTAGAGTTTTTGGAAAGTAAAGATCCTGATTTAAAAAAAAAGCTTGACAATTTTAAAGCAGACATCGCGTATTTGACAGATTTGTTTAAAAAATTTAATGACCTCAACTTACAATTACAAGGGTACAGCCTCAATATAATGAAAACAAAGAGTGTAATTTCAGCTTTTCTTGGTGAATTGAAATTAATGAAGGAAAATATTGGTCGGTGCGAATTTTCACAGTTTTCAAACTTATCGCAGGTAGAATGCCTTGATGAAGATATTCAGACATACGTTCAATATTTGATTGCCTTGCATGATGTTTAAATTCAGATTTGAAGATATTCTGTCGATGGAAATACCACCATGGATCATAAATCCATTTGATGAAACGGAAGTGGAGAATGTGATATTACAAGAGGAGCTACTCGAGTTTAGCACTAATGAGGAGCTGAAAGTGACATTTAAAAGAGAGTATGAAAAATTTTGGCTGCAGACAGAAATACCCGAAAAATATCTGGACTGTGGGGAATTGTGTAAGAGCTTCTGATAGCGTTTCCCTCGTCATATCTCGTCGAAAAAAGTTTTAGTGCCGTTACAAACTTATTAACAAAAAAAGGAGCAGATTGAATATCACAGAAAGGGGAGATTTACGGTTATTCCTTACAAAACTCAAGCCAAATATTGTTAATTTGCTGTCAATCCATCAAGAACATCCCTCTCATTAAAATTATATTTTTTTTTTGTAATTACCATTGTAGAAATTACATTACGTTATAAGTGTTTAATTTTAATTTTATTACGACGGTTATAACTATAATAATTAATAGTGTAATAATTTATATATTTAAATTTAAATAAATACCTACAACACAAGGAAATATACTATATTTCTTTTTACCACTCCGAATGGGACGTTTTTTAAATAAAATTTGTGAGAATTGATTGGTTCTTGTGCTGTGAGTCACTGTAGATTTCAAAAAAGTAAAGTTGGATGGAGTCACTTTTTCGTTTGGCCAACTTTGCTTTTTTGACATCCACTCACAGCACAATCAATTAAAATTTAATTGAAAATTTGTTTAGTCGACTTTATTATCAAATAATTAACCCTATCAAGCAATCAATTCTAACCTACTTTTTCGAAAACTGTTAATTCGTCATTAAAACTCAGCCATAACGCAAGTTTCCATAGATAGATCTAATCTTCACTGTTTGTTTCGAGATTTAGAAATTGGTGTGATGTAGCTACAGGGGGTCCACCGGATCCAGCAAAATTTTGAAAGTGTTCTATGAAACAAAAGAGTTTGGGAACCTCTGGTTTAGCCAATTATCAAGTTGTCTTTAGATCCAAAAAGTGACCGTACAATTGTAGGCTAAAAATCTTTATCATCTTTTGTTTATGAAATATAGAAAGCCATTGTAAGTTTTTAAATTATCACCCTGTATGATTTTTAATCTAGATCCAATGAAGGGCTGTAAAGTAACATCCTCTACAAAAACTAGTGTAAGCATAACAACGAGGATATTGAATTTATAGGAAGCACTTGGTGGCGAACAGTGAACGATAAGCAGGAAAACGCCAAACATTGAACGAACCCACTTCATGTCATGTCACAATCGCCCACTGGAATCTTTTTCAACCGTCGCGGCTACCAGTTACCCTTCCTTCATTCAACTCCAAACTCCTCTGGCGCAGAATCCATACTCCCGAACTCCCAAAACCCGAAACACAAGCGTCAGTAAGTTGTCAAGACTCAATAAGCGAGACGATGTGATTTTCGGTAGTTTTCATTGTCACAAAATTTTTACTTTTTGCACGCACAATAACCACATCATAAAGAACGAAACTCCTAGTTGTTTTTTATTTTTTTGAAGGATTTCTTTTAGATCTTATTGATTCGATAAAATCATGCGAAAAGTGACGGGTTGTGTGGAAAAATAGAGAAACAAAAATCTTGAGTGTGAAAATATTTATAAAAAATGGATTGCTAAAGGTAATAATAATAACAACAATAATAATATGTTTTTATTTAACAACTGTATGTACAACATTTGTCCTAAAAAGAAGATTAGCTATTCTTTAACTCTTAACCTTTTCAGAGAGAGAAAGAGATAGAGAAAAAGGAAAAAATACAATGTGTAATTAAATTTAACCTATAAAAAAGGAACTAAAAGAAAAGAACCATAAGATTAAAAATTATCGAGCTAGTAATATGTTTTTATTCTTTTGCGAAAGGAGTTAATATAATGATAAATCTCAGAATTATTAACAGAAAGTATTTTTTTTTTTTTTAATTTGGTGTCATCGGGGTCGACTACTACGGTCATTAGCCTCGTGTTCTGTGTAGGCTTTGTTACTGTTTCCCAGCGCCACTTTAGGAACAGCACTGTTAATTAGAACCCAACAGTGAATGGTCGAGTGGGGAATCCTACCAAGGCATCAGAATTAATTTTAAATAATTAAATTAAATGAAAAAATCCCGGCCAAGTTCACATTTTCGTTGTTTACTTTTTTATCGCAATTATTTATAAGTACACAGCTATAATTACTCGTATTTGCCACATTTAGTAATTATCTAAAATGTTGAAATCAAAATATTTCTATCACGGTTAAATCATGATTTCGATTTTATTGTTTTAACTGAAACACTAAATATACCAGATTTAAATACATTTCAGCTAACAGATTACAATATAATATATAATGAGGGAGATATAAATCGTAATGATGGAGTGGTAATATTTGTAAAAAAAAACTTAACTCTCATTTAATCCAAATAGGACAGTGTAAAGCAATACGATCAATAATTAATTTAAAAAATAAAAATAAACTTGTTATGACATCACTTTACAAACCACCACCCATCAAGGAGGAAGAATTTGTTGATAACCTTTAGACATATCCGGAAGAAACAAAAAACAACCTAAAAAATCATAAACATATCTTTGTAGGAGACATTAATATAAATATAAAACAAAATTCTAATTTAGTCTCCTCTTATTTAGACACGCTAGGAGAATTTAATTTTGTATCTCTGATAAATAAATATACATAAGAAAAGGGACCCTCAATAAGTTTGTTTATATAACTGTACCTACGGTTTTCAATGTGAACCTTGGGCACGACCTGCTAATTGTTGTTTTTTTCATGACGGTATAAGATGGGTGCAAAATAAATGGCGCAACTACAATGAGAAAAGATATTGAATTTGCTTGTTTATATACACATTTTATCTGAAATCAATTCTACATAGTACATACCTACATGAGCTCTAGGTATATTATTTTTTTCACCATAAATTTAAAGCTCATTATTTGCAATGGAAAAGAATGAGCTTAGAAAATTATTTCTGATAGATGTTCCGATGTTCCCCTACCAATTTCAGTTTGTGCTTTAGTTATATTAAAAAAATCTAATTCTACAATAAATTTTTGTTATTAGCTTGATTATGTTCATTTTATGGCTCCCTTTTCCCACAAAATAATTGAATGAAAAAATAAAATTTGATTTCGGAGGCATCAAAATATTAGTAAGAAACAAGAGGTAACGTATTTTTGTTATATATAATAGTGCGTGTCGTAATTTTTTGATGGACCTATCAAATCTCATCAGAGCAAGCTAATATCTCGATACAATTTAAACATTTAAGATGGATAAAAGTAACAGAAATAACTTCTAAAATAACATCACTGACCTATTTGACAGAACTGATACTTAAGCTACCATAAAAGTCAATAAGACCGGCTATTTTAATTGAATTTCTTGTTTTACCAGATGACGTGGGATGCGGGTAATGCTGAAGACTCATTATAAAAATCTATAGCAGCAGAAAAATTCAGGATCCAAATATCAACAGATTCTCTCCCCTTTCCGTTTTCCAGACATTCGCTGCGAAAAGTCAAAAAGTCTTTTATTAGCGACTTCAAAACTTTTCCAATTTGAATAAACTTTCGATAAAAAAAGTAAGGCGGATTAGTTTCTTTGGTTGGCATCGAGCCCTTTGATTAAATCAACTATGTAACCAGGATCGGGCTGGATCTCGCTAAATAGATCTTCCAAATATAAACAAAAATATATATTGTCGAATTATAATCACTAAATCCAATCTAATATGTAAATAGATAGTGAAACCATCGTTTTTAAAATTTCGGGAAACTTGTAAAGATTCGAAAAATAGGATGATAAATTCGTTGGAAATCCCCATACAAATCCCAAAATTACCCCTTCAAAATAATGAAGATTGTTTTAGAACAAATTTTTTGAAAAATTGAAAAAATCTGTCCACGATTGGATTCGAATCCACCTATCCGCGTTCTACGCACACCGCTTTTACCAACTGAGCTATCAAGGGCATAATCAACGATTTTCAAAATGTTAAAACGAATATAAGTTTGAAAAAAAAAAAAAAAACGATAGAAGAACGAAGAAAGCGATGGATATTTACACCATTTTGTTTTCTGTTACATTTGTGAAGTTAAAAGGCTTTTAAATTTTAAAATAGAAATTTAAGATTGAATAAATTATTTTTTCTTTGAATTATAAAGGATTTTTTTATTTAAATTAATCAATCGAGAAAAATCATAAAGTTTTTTTTCAGAGGACAATCACGTCCAAATTTATTTTGTTTTATAAATTAGTAAAAGTCATAAATTATTTTTAAACTAGTTATTATTTTATCTTAATGGTCTAAATTAATTTGTAGATATTCGTTAGTGGGTCGTAGAAAAAAATATATTTTATAACCCGAATGGATTGTCCGTATTCCACACTGTGTGATTTAGAAAAAAAGAGTATTGAAAAACAATAATTAAAGTGGGATAAAGTGTGATAAGCTAAATGAGCTTCTATATAAGAAACTTACCACTAATATTACAATAATTTTGATGATAGTAATAATAATAATAATAATACTCTCCCTAATTCACCCCCTTACGAGTGAATTTTAACCCCAAAAGCTGAGCTTGTGCGGGGAAAGGAAGGGCTATTATTATTATTTGCCGTGGCGCTCCGGGGCGACTTAAAGATGATTTATGGTGTCATTTGACTTACAGGTGAGGAAAACCCGGAAAACCTCACCCACCATCATCGAGACGGTAATGCATGGCGATTTTATAATCTGCATGTCATATATCAACAGAAATTGAATTTCTATTAATACGGCACACATCAAATCCAATACCGAACCATGCAATTTAATTAAAAATCTACATTGTCCGGTCAGGGATTCGAAGCCCGGCAGTCTCGGACCATAAACTTGCCTATAAATGAATATAAGCGCGTTAGACTGCTACACTACCGACCCGATAGTATTATAATGGTCTGCGAATTTCAACTGTTTGTCAATCATTACCCCTAAGTATTTGAATTTTTCTACTAACTGTATTTTGTTTTATTTGTGTTGTTTTTAACAAATTGTTGCAAAATTTTTCAGTTTCATTAAAAACTCTTACTAAGTTATCTGAATCCTTAAAAGAAAAATATAGAAGTGCATCATCAGCAAACAAATGATATTAACAATGTCATTAATATAAATTATAAATAACAAAGGACCTAATATACTTCCCTGTGAAACACCTTTAATATAATTAATTTTTCCTGATAAGATGGTATTTACTTTTAACCTTTATTTGCTGTTAGATAATCCAATCACCATTCAAACTAAATGACTAAATTGATATTCCTCCAAACTTAGTTTTTTGTTATAAAACTTGAAATTTTTTAAATATTACGTCTAAATTTATCAGGTATTGTGTTCTTTGAAGTAATATTCCTGGAACACCATAAATATTATCGAATTAAAAAGCAAAAACGTTGAATTTTATAAATATGGTCTCAAAAATAATTGAATAAATTTCATCTGGTTCGAAGGACCATGAATAGATTTCAATTTTGTAATTAATACAAGTTCATGAACTTAAATTTATAATATCATAGAATAAACAATATAAAATAACAATTATAAAACTTGTACTATTTGAGTAGTTAATGAAATATATGTAAAAAAAATAACATTATACAATACAATGTCTAATTTGTTACAGATGGGCAACGTACAACTAGCCATAGCAGTTTTTTGCCTAGTCGTTATCGTGGTCATAGTTTTCTTTGCTTTTTTCGCCTCGGTTGATTTCATCAGACGGATACAAACGTGGATACAATCGAATAAAGAAGAAAAAGCCTCTTTGACTAACTTGAAAGGTCTCTATAACGCTAACGGATATTTAGTAAGTATTTGAAAATATATATTTCGTTGTCAGTAACATAAATGGAAAACTCTCAATTGTGTTTCTGGAGAAATAAGGGATATTACTATAGACTATAGAATCCAGTAACTTTTAAATGAAATATTTAGAAAATGAAGATTCGGTTTTCGACATTGAACTTTTCTCCTTGAATTATACAGGGTGTTTCCTAACTATTGTGGTAAACTCAGACGGTAATTCCTTGGGATTCATAGGAACGTTTTGAGCCTTTGAAGTTTCGTACCCTAAAATTTAATGAAAACATTGAAAACAGATTTTAAACTAGTTTTTAACGCATTGTTGTCAAGAGTGGCAAGAGTATAGAGAGATAACTAGTAATATTTATTATTTTTAGTTGGGTATACAGTATGTCCCCCTAAGTTGGAATCATATGGAAAACTTTTTTATTATTAATTTTAGGAAAAAAGTTATTCTTCATAAAAAGTTCTGCATGACCCAAAACTTAAAATACAGTCATCAGATATCAAATTTTTCAAGCCGTATACGAGGTTTTTCAAAAAATATGAATTTTGCTCAAAAGTAAAGTACGTTTATTTTTGATAAAATCGAAAATTCTTCACAAACATCAATAAAAGGAAAGCGTATCATGTTTATAGTAGAGAAGAGAGAAAACAAATTATGGATTAGCGTAATTTTTCAGATAGATCGGTGTAATTGCATATTTGAATGTAATTTTAAATTTTAATCAATTTTTCTTTATAAAAATTTTCGATTTTGTCAAAAATAAACGTACTTTACTCTTGAATAAAATTCATATTTTTTGACAAACCTCGTATACGGCTTGAAAAATTTGATATCTCATAACTGTATTTTAAGTTTTGGGTTATGCAGAACTTTTTATGAAGAATAACTTTTATTCCTAAAAAAGTTTTCCATATGATTCCAACTTAGGGGGACATACTGTTTAGTAATATTTCCTCATCATAATACATAATTAATTTCCATATGGATATTTTTAATATAAATCAGATTGTATGATTTAGTATGGGTCGAATGACCACGACGTGAACTCTATTTCGAGAAAATGCTAATTTTTCTCCATTTATAAAAACTATAGGGAGGGGCGCTCCCTTCCTAAATCCGCCGCTGCATGATGCAAATCTTCAAAATCTCCAGCCCAGCAAATAAACCGTTTCATTACTTTTCAGGTTCATTCCGATTCGGATATCCAGTTGAATTGCAGCACGGGTAGTTTCAAAAGATTCGATTCCGTGGACAGAGATTTTAGGATTAACCTTACGGCAGCCGCCCCAGCCACCACCAACACCGCTAAACCCACGGATGATTGGAACCGCTTTCAAGGCGACGTTTGTATTCCTCCACAGCCCCTGCGACCGGCGCCAGTGCCGGTCACCGTATCCTCGACCCCTGAAGAGCCGGAAAGGTGCGAAGACAACTTTTCCACGAAAAAACATATTGGGTAAGCATTAGGGTTGGGCGATTATAAAACTAAATGACAGATTAATCGAAAATAATCGATAATAATCGAAAATAATTGAAAAAAATGTTAAAGAATCTAAAAGAAAAGAATCTGAAAGAATCCGAAAGAATCCGAAAGAATCCGAAAGAATCCGAAAGAATCCGAAATAATCCGAAATAATCCGAAATAATCCGAAATAATCCGAAATAATCCGAAATAATCCGAAATAATCCGAAATAATTCAAAAGAATCCAAAAGAATCCAAAAGAATCCAAAAGAATCTAAAAGAATCTAAAAGAATCTAAAAGAATCTAAAATAATCTAAAAAAATCTAAAAGAATCTAAAAGAATCTAAAAGAATCTAAAAGAATCTAAAAGAATCTAAAAGAATCTAAAAGAATCTAAAAGAATCTAAAAGAATCTAAAAGAATCTAAAAGAATCTAAAAGAATCTAAAAGAATCTAAAAGAATCTAAAAGAATCTAAAAGAATCTAAAAGAATCTAAATGAATCTAAAAGAATCTAAAAGAATCTAAAAGAATCTAAAAGAATCTAAAAGAATCTAAAAGAATCTAAAAGAATCTAAAAGAATCTAAAAGAATCTAAAAGAATCTAAAAGAATCTAAAAGAATCTAAAAGAATCTAAAAGAATCTAAAAGAATCTAAAAGAATCTAAAAGAATCTAAAAGAATCTAAAAGAATCTAAAAGAATCTAAAAGAATCTAAAAGAATCTAAAAGAATCTAAAAGAATCTAAAAGAATCTAAAAGAATCAAAAATAATCGATTTAAATGTTTCTCACCCCTAGTAAGGATCATACAATCTTAATAAGTTTTATAATAAGTCATCTAAAACTAAACAATAAAATATCGAAAGCTTTGCCTGTCAAATATAAACTAAGTAACTCAAGGTTGAATCCTTGGACCATTACTATTTTCTTTATATATTTCTAATGGCGTTTTCCATTGGCATGCTCAGTGCGTTTTGAGTGTATTTTCACTTTCTTCTTTTTCATATCGATAAACAAGGACACAAATATACTCAGTGCACACATCCAATGCCAATGGAAAACGGTATAATTTTCAGAGTCATCAAAAATTGTCAGATACACGAATGATACACAAATATATTTGACTTTCGGTGACCTCTCAAGACAAAATTGATACCCATTTAAACATTTAACATTTCTTGAATCTATATTGTTAAATTAAATTCAGAAAAATGCTGTAACAACACTCTACTCGAAAAAATGTATTGATACTTTTCATAACTCCATAAAAATTAACATCCAAAAAAATGTTTTACCATTAGTGAACGAATATAAAAATTTAGGACTCTGGATCTCATATTGATTTATATAATAATAATAATAATACTCTCTCTAATTCACCCCCTTACGAGTGAATTTCAACCCTTGAAGTCGACTAAACGACTTGTGTAGGGGAAGGGACGGCTATTATTATTATTTGCCGTGGCGCTCCGGGGCGACTTAAAGATGATTGATGGTGCCATTTGACTTACAGGTGAGGAAAACCCGGAAAACCTCACCCACCATCATCATATAACAAACTTCAAACAATATTCTTAAGAAACTTTAACCAAACAGATATCTTTTGTTATCAAATTAAAAATTAAAGTTTTTGTGTTTCTTTTATCTCTAAAATTTCCTAATATACCAAAATTGCCCCAAAACTACAAATTGATTTAGAATTATCCCTAATTTTTAATGTTAAAATTAAAGTTAAAAGAAATGTAATTTACATCAAAAATTAAAAAAAAAAAATGAATGGAAAATGGCAGTTTATCGATTCGACATTTGCCTTTTAGAAGAGGTCCATTAATATTATTTAATTGTTTCAGATACGACGAAAGCAGTTTTATCGAAAAAACCTCAATTTGCCCCATCCCTCGACCAGTCTCATCCGTAAATATGGCCGCTTTACTATCCCAATCCCAATCTTCCTTCCCGGTTTGCTTAACGCCTCCTCCGAGCCCGTCGATGTTTCAGCTACCTACGTCTTCAGAGAGCACCACATTGCATTATCCCGTCACTCCTCCTATGAAGATATCCGGAGTTTACATACAGCCTAATCAAATGCAAGCAACGGCCGTACCGGATTCGCCTTCTTTTCCTGTTGAAGATGTAGAAGTGGTGCTTCCAGCGATGCTGAAGAGAGCCATTTCTTGCGACAGTGTATGTTCCGATACTTCTGTTGCACTCGGGGATTTAGAAATACTGAACGTTACTGGATATTTGTGCATCGGCCTAGAATATGACAGGTAAAATCGATTCAAATTCTAACTGTAATTATTTTTCAAAAACAGATAAACCTTCTTTGGTATTATGATGGTCAATTATAGTTCGAATGTGTCAAAAAACGTCGGTTTTCAAATAGAAATCTTTTCAATATACTTTAAATGAACTGCTGCAAAATACTTTTTCGACTCAGGCGGAAAAAAGCAAGCAGCTCTGATTTCTAAACATTCTTTCTTATTTTTATTTAACTTTTTAACAATATTGCTCGATCTAATTTTTTCTATTGTAAAATTAATAGTCAATAATCCACATGCATATCAAATTTGATTACTTACAATCAATTTTAATGAAATAAAAAAAAAACTAAAAGAACTATTTGGTTTGGCCTAATTTGTAATTTAAAAAATTATGCGAATCCTGTATATTTATATTACTTGGTAACACCGTTTGCAAGATTTGTGTTGAAAGCAGGGGATTGTCTAGTCAAAAGCACTGTCATTGTATTGTTTTATGTATCGTATCGTTAACATTAAAATAAGTCGAGTAGCACTTTTAATTTAATTCAAATCAAAACAAAATATAATACAGTCCACTTTAATCCCGAAAGAGATACTTATGATACCCACCGCAAATAAATTGATTATCTTTTATTCCAAAAATGTAATTATTGTTTCAGCGAATGTTGGGACTTGGTAGTTAACGTACTAGAAGCAAAAGAATTACGAGGGATAATTAAAAAAGATGACAATCTAGATACTTACGTTAGAGTATCTCTTCTTCCTGATAAGGAGGCGACCATTCAAACAAAAGTATATCGCAGCTCGGGCAGTCCGAGCTATAAAGAAAGATTCCTATTTTCTATGAATCCTAGGTGAGTGAGCATTGTCAAATATTTTTTCAATAGAGGCTAAATCAGGTGATCAAATACGTTAATTAAGAAATCAATTAACTTATGATATAAGTAGTTTGTACTGGGTGAATTTTTTCTAGGGAACAATCATACCGGGTGCTCTGCTTTCACGTGTACTCGACTGATTTTTTATCACACACTTTGGTAGGAGAAGGAGAGATCCGACTGGCAGATGTTAGTCTGCGACAACCTGTCACCACGTGGGTGACATTGACGGATACCGGACAGGTAATAAACAATTTCACTCCCTAGTTATATAGGTATTTTAAAATAAAAAAATTCATGAAAAAAATTGACATTGAGAGTCCTTAAAATGTCTAATTTCATTGTGTCCCTGATGGGACCAGAAGGGACGAAACAAGTAATTTTTATTTTTTTTTAATAAACAATTGGATGTGGTAATCATTTAATATTTTTATTATTTTGATATTTAATAAAAATAATAAAATTATTGCATAATTAACATAGTTTTGTATATTCCCGATATTTTATTAGAAAACAATTCTAATTAATGCTGATATTTCATTTAATTATAATTCTCCGGGTTTAAATCGAATAATTCTGTTATTTACTTTTCAATTTTAAAATAATTGTGTATTCTGGAAACGTTTATGTTCGTGGAAGTGAAAAGGGAATAGGGCGCGCAATCAGAGTCAGAGCAGACGTACAGTTGAACGAACGCAATTTAATAATATACAAAGTGTTCCTTAATGATAAGCGAATATTTAAAAATGTGAATCTACATGAAAAAATAATTATATTATTCAAAAAATGTTCCGCTACGAAAGAGCTAGACAGCTAAAGTTTTGGAAATAAAAAAAAGGAAATTAATTAAATTGGTTATTATTTGGAAAAGGGCACATCTACTTTTAACACTCAATTTTACAGCAGACAGGAAATAGTAGTTTGTGCATGGCCATATGTGTGATATGGACAATCCACTCGAGCTGTAGAGTATATTTTTTCTACGACCCTCTAACGGAAATCAACAAATTTAAAAAATTATTTTAGGTTATTGAGACAAAAAAACTAATTTTAAAATAATTTATTAATTTTAATAATTTATAAAACACAGTGTCTAAGTACACGCTAACTTGTACGCAATTCAAAAAGTTATATACACGCGAATCGTCTTGACAGAGTAGTGAGATGTGTCCAGGCAGATGTGTTTATGCCGGTTGGCGTAGCTAGGTATAAATTGAAATATTCTGGTGGCGGTGAAGCCGCCACCCTACGAGAAGTCGTTGCTTTGTTTTCTTGTTGTCACGGCATTTTTATTATTATTATTTGTTCATGTATGTGAAATTTGCTTCTAAGGTTTATAAAATACTACTGCTAATCACGGCGTAAATGAAAACAAACAAGACGCATTCACACAAACACCTCTCACCACAGCAATATAACGTTTCGCATGTATATAATTTTTTGATTTGTATACACGTCAGCGTGTACCTAGCCATAGCGTTTATAAAATAAAATAAATAAAAATAATTTAATGTCCCTAGCCAGGAATCGATCCCGGATTTTTCGCGTGGAACGCAGAAGCTCTGTCCATAGCTCCACGCCCGCTTTTACAATTTTAATTGTAATACTCGTAATTAAATTAGTTTCACATAGTTTGAGTAAAATTTTTTTTTTTCAATTTGTGGATCAAATAAAAATTAGAATGATATTATTCATCGATTCTACACAAAAATAGCTCATTTTAATGTATATTTAATCTCAATAACTAAAAAATACAATGACAATTAGTTTGACAAAATTTTAAAAATAATAGTAGTTCCAAAATATGAACTGTGAGTGGTGGATTTAATTTTTTCTACACCCGTATTATAATAATGCACTTATATGCCCATAATCCGTTTCATAATGATACCCATTATGATACAGATTTTTCATTACGATACAGATTTTTAATCAATAGAAACCTACAATTTTTCAATCAAGCATGCTGTTTGACGTTTGTCCTAGGTTCCTATGTAATTATTTTAGTTGTCAAAACGTATTAAATTTTCGTAGGTAGCTAAACTTCGATAATTATAATATTAAAATGTCTGATATTAGCGATATAGAAGACTCCTCCACACATATCGGAGAAAGCAGAAAATACAGTACAAAATATTTTACCGCAAAAATCTAGGGAAATACCAATACCTGAAGTAATACCATTAATTACAATTTTGTAGAATTTTTTATAGAAATACGAGTAATTACTGTTATTGTGTTCAATACCAATATAAATATAATATTTATAGGTCTTGATTATTTATCGGGTGTAGAAAAAATAGCGTATGCAACTCTCATGTAATGGTTATTAAAACACTCGCATAAACCATACGAAACTCGCCTTTGGCTCGTTTCGTATCCCGGTTAATGCTCGTGTATTAATAACCATCATTACATGATCGTTGCATAATATACTATTTTTGCAGTTTTTTCACTATCTAGAATGAATATATAATATATTCGTTCAGTTGAACGCAATAGCATACTTTCTCGTTGTGTAGTCTGTACGTAGATTAGTTAATATCCATGTGGGTGTAGAAAATAGTAGTTTGTGCAACAAGGGTGAATATGATGATAGTATCACACAAAGACGAAATTTGAACACGACGCCGTAGGCAGAGTGCTCAATCGTTTGAGTACAATTTGGATAATCCACTCAAGTTGTACAGTATATTTATTCTACGACCCACTAAAGAATATTTACAATTAAAAAAAAATTAGGTTATTAAGACAAAATAACTAATTTTAAAATAATTTATGACTTTAAATAATTTTTAAAATAAAATAAGCAAAAAAAAAAGAAAAAAGTTCATTTCATTTTTCCCATCGAACTCGAGTCTTTCATGTGGAAGGGAAGAACGCTTACCACAAGACCACCAATTTATAATTAAACTGACTTCATACAGTTTTATTTAAATTAACAAATTATTTATAATTATAGACGAAATAAAAAGAGAAATGCTATTATATATCGATTCTGCACAAGAATAACCTATTTTAATGTATGTGTAATCTCAATAACTAAAAAACATACTTACAATTAGTTTGACAGAATTGCCATTTATTTAAAATTTAAAATAGCAGTCGGTTGATCAAAATATGAACGGTGATTGGTGGATTTTATTTTTTTGCAGTGTTCTCACTACCTAGAATGGATATGAAATATATTCGTTCAGTTCCAGGCAATAGCAAACTTGTTCTACACCCACATGGATATTAGCTTATCTACGCACAGACTACAAAACGAAAAAGAATGCCATTGCGAACAAATGAACGAATATATTTCATATCCATTCTATCTAACAAAAAAATTAAATTTACCAATCACAGTTCACCTGGATACTATTATTTTTTAAATTTTATAATAGTGTCAATTTTGTCGAACTAATTGTCAGTATATTTTTTAGTTATTGAGATTAAATATAAGTAAAAATAAGCTATTCTTGTGTAGAATCGATAAATAATAGCATTTCTATTTTTATTTTGTCCACATTTACAAATAAATAATTAATTTTAATCAAACTATATGAAACTAATTTAATTACGAGTACTATTAAAACTCAACATCGGCACAAATCAGGAAAACAACTCGAGAGAGCTTTTTTGTTTTAAATTGGACGGGAAATACAAAAATATTTTTTATTTGTCAAAAACAAACATTTTTTTCTTCAAAACTAAGTCTGTACCCGTACGCACGCCACTGTTAAAGCGGAAAATTATTTTTGTATTGAAAAATATGCACCTTCATTAACTATCATTGTGTACTAAATATCACCAAATATTTCAAGTGGTTTCGAAAGATATTAATTATTTTCCTTTTTTTTTAAGAACTTCAGCACTTTGTATTTTCGTAATAGAACATTTTTGGATCGTATTTTACAAAGTAAACTATCATTAATTACTGTTCATGTAGATTCACACTCTAAAATAATAGTACATCATTTAGGAAAACCCTGTATAATAGACATTGTTGCTTGTGCTTTTTCTGGTGCTGACGCTGATGGGCCACGTGGTTACATCAATATAACGACGCCTACACCCTACGCGAATTATCCAGGAGATGCTTTCGAGGTTTTTCTTTTTCCTTTTTTTACCTGGCGATATTGACGAATAATTTCATACGATAGTTCGTCTACAAGGCGACAATTTTAAAAACACTTTTAATATCAGAGAGCCTACATGAAGTCTATTATTTTCATATTCTTTGTGGTTAAAATAAATAAATACCTTTAATAATAGTGTTTATCGCCAATTGTCAATAAAACCATGCATTACCATAGCGATTTGCGGAAGTAAACAAACACTTTATCTCACTGTAGAAATCAAATATTTTATCTGCCGCTAATATTATCAACATAGCCATGGTCGTCTGACAGAAATAGTCAGTAACTGATTTGTTTTGTATTCGCTGTTATTTTTCTGTTTGTTTTCTTTGTCATACTAAAATATGATGTTATTAAATCTCTTTTTTTATTTTATAATTATTTACGGTTGTGTATGAACCACGTCAGCAAAGTGTCTTTATCGAACTCTCCTGTTACTCGCCTCGCTCGGCTCATAATCTCAGATTGGTTCGATAAAGAATCACTTTACTGACTTGGTACATAAATAACTATCATTATTACTTAGTTATTCACTTTATTGTCTTAGTTTCTATAGGCTAACAGTGCTAAGCATGGAACAAGGTTTAAAGCAATAAAACAGTGCGATCCTTACTGCAATCTGCCTTATAAAAATTGCCTCGACCAAAACAAAGTTGTAACATCAAGAGCTTTGTTGTTTTGAAAATGTTTCCTGTAAAATTTGTATTTATTATTTTCAAAATGAAAAATAGCTGACAATATTACCAAATTGTTAGCGTTTCCACATTGGAAAATTCAAATACGAGTTCTATTCTAGAGTTCATTAAAGGTCGTGCAAAAATTATCTTTACTTTGTCGTTCTGTGTAGCTTTTATAGTTTGACAGAATTGTCACTTATTTAATTCTACATTTAAATAATAGTAGGCTGGTGACCAAATATGAACTATGAATTTTTTTTTTTTTTTTCAGAAAGGAACCGAATGCGGGGAGTTAATGTTTTCTTTGAGTTACCTCCCCACAGCTGAAAGGTTGACGGTTGTTGTGGTCAAAGCGAGAAACCTCAAATTTTCCACGAACGTTCCAGGAGAAGCTTTTGTTAAAGTAAGTAGTTACATCTTAGTTTTATTTTTTCGGAAAATGGTTATTATTGTGTTTAACAGCAATGAAATAATAACAAAAATTGACCGTCTATTAAATACTAGAAGAAGAAAAACTCCACCGTTGCCAGATTAACGAGAGGGAGGGAGATGAAATTATGGTTTTAATTGTGACCCATTGGGACTAAAAAAAAATCTTTTTATATAAAAAAACTCTCACAAACACAAATTGAAAAATTAAAAGAGTCGTGTAAGGAGCTGAAAATTTGCAGCTCTATCCGAATTTTAATCGAATTATATATATGAAAAACTGATTCCAATAGTGTTCTTTTTTGCAACAAATTTTGAAGACGAAGTCAAATGGAAAATTTTTGTATATAACAAGCACGTTCTCGTTTTTACAATGCTCAGAAAATCTATATTGCATCAGGAGGTCCTAGGCATTTTTTTATACAAAAAAAATGAAATCTGAAATAAAACATCCCGCCATATTTAATAATTTATAATATGTAATGTAATAAAAGGACAATGTAAAAAATTATAAATAAACTGTGAAAGTATCAATCTTAGAAAAAAATGTTAAATAGAAAATTTCCTTTAGTATTCTCATATAAAATTAAATATTTTTCAAAAAACGCCCTAAACAAAGCACGAGATCAAATGAGAGGAGATCATCAGACATCGAATTGAACTGTTATATCAATTTGTAGTTAACGGTCTAGACCAGCCATACTCAACCTTTTTTCCTTTGGGCCACATTTGTATGTTTGTTATGTTACACGGGCCGCAATATTTCTGGATGATACCCCTTTTTTTAGGTCAAAATTAGTTAGTGGGGACCTTTAGTAAATAAAACAAAACAAATATATTCCGTCGAGTTACTGCAAAAAACAAGATAGCTCACATGTTTTAGAGTTTCAAGAAAACTGTTCAAAAGGTTAAAATTTAATACAAAATCAGTAAAAGAATTAAACTGTTTAATAAACAATAACTTCAATGAAAAAAGGTATTCAAAGAATAATTAGTCTTCACAAAGTAACAAAAAAAAAAAAGAAAAAACTACGTCACTTAGCTGTCTACATACAGGTCATAACATTCGATGTATTTGTCACTATTTTCAATGGAAGATTCAGGTACTGTGTCTTTAACATTATTGAATACAGGTAGATTGTGATAATATTGGTGAAATTCATCAGGTGTAGCATCTGATTTGTTATTTGTAAAGTTTTAGTAAATCTTTCTTCTTGCACTTTTTTTGTATTTTCATAGCTATTTTTTCACCCTTTCAGGCATCCTTCTATTTCTTTTTAAATGGATTTGTCAATAAACATAATTGTAGGTACTGGTACAATACAAATACACATGTTTTTCGGGAAGAGCACAGCCAATATCCTCAGAAAATTAACATATGGGCCGGAATTCTTGGTAATAAAATTATTGGTCCTATTTTCATGGAGGAAAATTTAACTGGGGAATTGTATTTGAACTTATTAGAAAATCTGATGAATCCTCTTATAACCGAATCCTTAGAAAACCAAATAGATCAAGATGGAAATTTGTTACTAGACGAAGAAAACCTATTTTTCCAACAGGACGGAGCACCTCCACATTATGCCTTGCCTGTACTAAATTGGCTCAATGAGACATTTCCAGATAAATGGATCGGAAAAAGGGGCGCTATAGAATGGCCAGCGAGATCACCCGACCTAACGCCTCTTGACTTTTTTTATGGGGACATCTAAAAACTGTGGTGTATAAAACTCAACCTCGCGATATTCCTGAACTTAGACGTAGAATAGTGGAGGAGTGTGAGCGAATTACACCAGAGACGCTTCAAAAAGTGCGGGATGAATTCGAGCTGCTATTTTACCATTGCCTTGCCAACAATGGCGGGCATTTTGAACATCTTATTTAAGTACAATGTAATTCTTACGCAAATAAAATATTAATAATGTAAATACAATGTAAATAATAATTATTTTAATTTAAAAGGTTAAAATGGCATAACTTGGTGAAAAATTAATCCGATTTAAAAAAATAATGTGTCAAAAGATTGGTAAAAAAGAGACATTTAGGAAGAGCTATCACATGATACCCCTTTCTATTTAAAATTTTAGAAGTGATATTCACCACTGCTTAGGGGATGAAACTGCACGGTTACAGATACTTGTAAAATGTGTCCCCCCGTAAATATAAATTAACGTATTTTTCGTTTTTTTGTTTTAAAGATATTTTAAAAGTTATTTTGGGTGGCTAGTTTTGAAATGAAATCCCTGTATATTGTGAATGTATTAAAATAAAGTTAGTTTTTATTGGCCATCTGTTTATCATGAATATAGAGTTCGTACAACCTGTCTTGTATATTATTTAAACTATTTTGGAGACTCAATCCGAAAATGCCAAAAGTGAAGTCATCATATTTTAATTAACGAGATATTTAGCGCAGAGACCGATGAATGGTTTTGCGTATTTAGCTCAAAATTTTAAAAACAGAAACCTATATTTTTAAATAACACATTTTTAATTGTATTTCGGGCCGCAAAAAAAGCTTGGAGGGCCGCATGCGGCTCGCGGGCCGCAGGTTGAGTATGGCTGGTCAAGACTATCTAGAGCATGTTAATGTAAAAATGTCATTTTAATCTTCGTTTAGTAATTTAAACTTCGTTTAACACAACGGTGGAATCGGCCCTAAGTCTAATAGGAGGTATGACAAAAAGTAAAATAGGAATCCGTTTCTAGGGTAGACATTTTTAAAAATCAGGCAACTACCTAAATTGATAGGATTTTTTCTTGATGTCTGATTTTTTTTAGGTTTATTTAATGCAACAAAACAAAAAAATTAACAAAAAGAAAACGTCTGTAAAGAAAGGAGAAAAATGCCCTATTTTTAATGAATCCATGATGTTCAGTGTACCTGCTCATACTTTATCGGTAAGTTGACGTTTATTTATTATTTTTTTAATTTCTTAATAGATTTGTTAAACCCTAGCTTTATTTAAGCTGTAGGCTTGACGTATACTGCCTTCGATCATGGTGGACTGTATTCAAATTAGATTACCGGAGGCTCCACCCTGTAGCCTCTGGAAGATATTCTTGAAGTTCTAGTTGAAGCACTGGGTGTATTAAAATAAAACCATCACCCTACATTTGATTTTGGTATTGGCGATTTAAATTAATTTTCGCGCGCCTGTCATTTGTCACCTATAAGTAGGATGTTTGTTTATTTACATGTGTTTGCTTTGGGCGGCATAGGCGCCGAATCCCCGGGGCTCCGGGTGCGCAAGCACCCAGAGCAGTTTTGAACAGGGTGCGGAGCACCCAGAGCACAACGAGGACAAAAAGTGTCAATAAGTGAAATGAAGAAGTTGTCGTGGCCCAAGTTGGTATAGCGTCAGATGCCTCAATAAAATATTATCGTTCGGAGCTATATTTTTTGTGATAAAAAAGTCGCCGTAACTTGTCATAGACAATGCGTTGAACTTAAGGGTTTATTATTTTTGGTGTATAAAACCCTATGACGTCAAAAAATAAAGATTATTAACGGTCTACAATTATCAAGATAAGATCTTTGTACATATGCCATTGAGCAAATGCTTAAGGGGAAAAGGGAGAACATTTAAAAGTTGCTCCTGATCAAGCACCGTTAGAACAAAAAGGTTCATTTAGAGTTAGAAACAGCTCTCTAGTATTGCTGGCGAGAAACCAGGTCATCTACTAAAAAACGCTTGGATTAGTCAATTTTGTTTTTTACGGGGAAACATTGTTTTGGCAGTTGCACCCCCTAAGCGGAACCCCTCTATCGGGGGGGTGAGAGTCACCAGTTATATCTTAAATGGAAAGACTGGTCGAATGATATGTTATTTTGAAGGTATTTTTACCTAGATAATAACCCCCGAGTTTTACATCGCTACTATCTATGTAGCCCATACAGTGGCTCACCAAAAGTACAAAACCGGTTTAACATAATTTTTACATTGTTATTAAAAAAAAAAGGAATTCTTTGTAACAATTTTACTTTTATTCCTGTGGCTCTCAATTATTCTTATCAGATGACATTCTTTGGTCGCCGTAAAGTAGTAAGGTTAAGTTTATTTCGTTGTAGAGTCGGCATAAAAGTATCATATCAGTGAGAATGGTGCAAATAATTTCACTTTTTTGCGAACAATAAATGTGCTAATAGTACTGTCTAACTGTTTAACAATCGACAAGTCCATCGAAATTACATTTTGGAGTTAGTCCTATCATTTTGGAAAACGGGGTCAGTAGCTAACAAATAACGTGAAATGGAAAATTCTGTAGTAAATGAAGCTACAGAGGTGGCGATTTTAGGACATGTTGTTCATGAACCCATATGGAGTACAAGACAGTTGGCGATAACATCTGGTATTAAGAGACGTAGTATTCAGAAGATATAGAAAGTTTTATTCCTACAAAATACATCTGGTAAAAGAACTTAATGAAGACGATTTTGATAGGCGATTACAATTTTGTGAAATTATGACTGAACGGTATTAAATGATCTGCAATTTCTTTTCAATATGTGTTACTCAGACAATGCACTTTTTTCCTAAATGGTACGGTAAATCGTCACAACTGTCGTTATTGGTCCGATTCAAATCCCAGAATATTTCATGAAGTACATACGCAACATTCGGAAAAACTAAATGTTTGGGCTATCATTTTTGGTAACCGTATAATGGGCCCCATTTTTACCAGAAACTTTAACCGCAGAAATGTATCTGGAATTATTAGAAAACGCTATTTATCCAGCATTACTAGAGTTGATTAAAAATGACGATCAGTACATAGCAAACAACTTAATATTCCACCATGACGGTGCATCACTGTTCGTCAGTATTTGGATCAAACGTTTCCAGGTTTCCAGGATCGGAAGAAGAGGAAGTATTGAGTAGCCCCCACAGTCTCCGGATCTAAGTCCGTTGTGTTTTTTATGGGGCTACTTAAAAACTAAAATTTATGCCACCCAGCCAACATCACTGGAAAATCTGCGACAACGAATGAATGTCATCAAATAACCCCATAGATGCTTCAAAATGTCCGATAGCATTTTGAACAAAACCTCTATTATTGCATGGAGGCCCAGAATCAGCATTTATTTCAAAATACCAGTGGTGGCTGCACCGAGCATATAGGGTTGCCAGATATCCCGTTTTAGGTGGGAGCCTCCAGCCTATCCAGCAATTGCCATTTGACAATACCTTTTTTTTTTTGAAGAAAATTTTCATAAAATCAACTTTAAAATAGCTTTTTAAAAAACAGGTGGTGCCTTTAAGTGAGTTGTGGAGGATGGGGGGGGGGGGGGGGTACAGCCCCCATTTTCCGCATAGAAGCCGGGCACCCAAAGCGATTTTTGAATTCCGGCGCCTATGTTGGGCGGAATTTGTATTTGTGATTTTTTTAACTGTTTTTAGGTAATATTCTCATTGTAATAGTGTTTTTGAGTTTCATTTAGTGTTAATTTAAGTTTAAGTCTCGTGCTTTCGTCATAAATATAATATTTATCATGTGTCTGACTTAATTTGTTGGAAATATTCACCTATTGGTTGCTACAAAAACATCTAGAAATATGTATTTACTAAACCCAGCACATGTTTTATTATGTGGTTTAAAGGACATTCCAGGTACCAAACGTTTATTATTGATGAACTTATTTAAAAATCTTACTAGACTTATTCCTATATTATGAAGTGAATTATGTAGTACTTTGTATACATGTGAATGGTAATAAATTTGTCACAAATCATATTACAGTTTGATTCTAAACAAAGTTTTGCAAAATTTCAATATTGTGAATTTGTAGATATCCATTTATCGCAAAAAACTAAATTTTATGACTTGCACTTGAAAAATAATGAATAGGTACTCAGTTTTGATTTTGACATTAACACCATATAGATATTGCAATTTGCTGGGGACTTTTTCGCAGATTTCATTTTTAATATAAACACTATCACATACTATAAAAAATAAACAAATTTAAAGCTAAAAAGTAAGAAAAAACTCGAATTGTAATTGATACAAATTAAAATGTAAACAATGAATACGAACGTCAGTGTTGCCAAATGAACTGATTTTAAAACAAAATAAATGAACTGAAATTTAAAAAAAAATCAATATAATAAATCGGTTTTATAAAAAAATCCATAAATAAATATAGAGTATGATTACATATTACTATACACAAATTTTTATTCTTAAATAAAAGGTCTTATCCACTTCTTCAAGAGCTAAAATCTGACAACGTAGCGAAATTTTGCTACTTCTGGCAACGCTGAACGATATCCTACTTATAGGGACCATCTACAAATTTCCTCCAGAGGGCGTATCACTTAGCTTGAATCGCGAATATTCACTGCTTGATACGTTCACATTTAATACATTTACAACTTTGTTGTTACATAGAATTATTGATAAGTTACATACTTTTTATAAAATGAAATCGCAAATGCTTGGAATGGTTACCGCGAATGCCGGCTTTTTAACTTTTATTTATTACATGTTGTTTGTTCGAAAGGTGAAACGAAAGTGATTTTAGTTTTGTCCTGCGCTATTTCTCAACCCACAACGGTTTTTTACCTTTCTTCTAATTGATTCTCTTTACTCGTATGTTTTGCACGCGAGACCATTGTTTTTAGTATCTGTCTTTTGATTGGGTGAAAGGTCTCGCATGATTATTTTTAACTGCACCTTGAGACGGCCGGTGTCGTTGAAGGTTATTTGAAAGTTAAAAGGGGTTGATATTGAACAGCTTTGGATATTATTGGTTTATACCTAGTGTCTATTTAGTATTTTATTCTTTTTTATTTGTTAAGTGTGGAGGTTTATACAGGGAGTGTCTATTTAGTATTTTATTCTTTTTTGTTTGTTAAGTGCGGATTTAGGTTAATCTGCCCTGCAGATAGGACATGTTGAATATTATTTCAACAAGATTAAAGGAACGTTTTTTTTTTAATTTTTTAATAGTATATAACTACTGCCTTAGCTAAAAATAGATTTTTGTTTAGACAGGTCCGCTTCAAGGAGCTAATAATGTAGAATTAATTATTATAGTTAACAATACAAAAATAAAAATAAGTTTGAGGAACGATTACCTCAAAATAAAACTTTAACTTCGCCTTTTGTACATTGTAATTCAAATTTTTAGTATTTGTTTTATACAGGGTGATTTCAAAGTACTGTCATTCCTTTTAGTAGGAGTTTAATTAGACATTCCTACGTCTAAAAATCGTATTTTAAACTTGATCAAAATATTAAAAAATACTTACATTTCCTCAAAACTTCTTAATCCAACTTAACAAAGTACGGTCCTGGCACATGCAGCAAGACAGGTCCGTACGCAAAAACTGAAATAATTTTACTGTTTATTTAAGTATTTTTTATTCCCTTGTTTTGCATTTTTTTTTGGAAAAAGTATATGACGAAAACTGATTTTTGGATTGAGTTTTATATGTTGTTAAAATGAGTTACAATTCTTCGAAATAACCCTCTATAACATTCTACATAAGCGATTCTCGTTTTTATAAATATTATATTATATGTTATGGTTTTCAGACAATCCAATTACGTCTGACGGTAGCCGAATGCATTCCCGACGATTCCTCTAAAGCTCTGGCCGTCGGACACGTTATAGTGGGAGCGCAAGCCATCGGAAGATCCCTCAGCCATTGGAATCAAATGTTGACGGCTCTTCGGAAACCAGTCGCTATGTGGCACTCCCTGAAAAAACATTCCGAAGACCAACAGAAACCAACCACGTAGCTTCTATGTTCTTCTCCATCATGATCATTATCATCATCTCTTTTAGATTGTTAAATGTTTTACATTATCGTTTTCGATGACATGTAAATTAGTTTCGATTCCTTCTAGAGACCACACAGGTACTTACTTCATTCTTCCGAATTTCTTATTTTGTGATTCAAATTATCTGTTAGAATTTACCTGAAATGTTGCGGTAATAGACTCCATTAGTGTTACGTATAGGACCCCTATAGAATTCGACGCGTGTTTTTATGAAATTTAATATGTTCTCTGTGTATAAGAAAAATGATCTAACCTCAGTAATTTCACATTGATACCTTTTTTACCCAAAAATAAGAAAGGCAGAGTTATAAAATTTAAATCCGGTCCTGGACTTATGAATTAAAAGTGAATATAATTAAAAATTATGTTTGTTTTATTCATTTTTTTCGGTGTATGATCAATGATATAATTTAGGTTTAATTTATTTGAGATTCTAAAGCTGAATACATTTTAAGACTCCATAGAAGATGGCACTCCATTCGGGGACATTTATAGGATTATGAAGTAATCACTAATGTAGTCTATTCCATTATGCATTTGAGACAATTTCGTATACTGTGATGTAGATTGCCTATCGCCTATCGGTTTGTCAATATGTTAAGTGGTACCAACATTAATTTAACATTAAGAACAATACAGGGGCCCGCGGTGCAAAAGAGCCCACACTATTTGCAAGGTACTTTTGTTTTTCTTTTTATAGTTTTGTTTTTTTTTTAACCACAGTAGTACTAATTTTTTTATTTTATTTTATGTTTACTTATTTTTCTGGATAAAGTCTATACATTCACAGAAACTTACTACATTTTAAATCCGAGGAAAGCTGTTGGTAAAATTTTGTATTCATGATAGGCTGTTGTTTTCTTTCATATCAAAACGGGCTAAAAAAAATAGGATGAAAATCTATAAATTATAAAAATATTTTCAGTAAATGTAGTCTACATTCAAATTAAAGGATATAGATTGATTGATTACATTTTACTTTGGTCTAAAAATACTAAATACAAAAAAATTTAAATTATGTAATAATTTATTAACAGATGTTTGTTCCATGCTCGGTTCCATGTATATTCTACAGGGTAAAACGGTAAAAGGAATTTGAGAAAAAGAGAATTCATTTATTATATTGCGGTGTGCGTTTTGGTTTCTTAAAAGGGGGTCGTGGAGCGTTAATCTGTGATATGTAGGGCATTAATTTAGAGAAAAATAGTTTCAAATTAGAGAAAAATCATTTCTGATGGATGTCGTACGTGTAATTATTGTAGTGGTTTATCGTAGTCAAAAATAATGCCCTCTATGTTGTTAACTATCATTAGTTGATAATCTAAATTAATTAATCTAGAAATTAAAACTTTATTTATTTTTTTAATAAAAAAAAAAATATATTAATCGAAAAGTTGATTGTTTTTGATTCGGCAATACCTTTGTAGAATAACATTTTTAATTTATTACATTATATTAAATTATTACAGATAGTTTATATTTTGAAAATGGCAACAGTGTTCACTAAATTAACATAAAAATTACATTAGTTCTGTGCTAAGTAACATAACCAAAAAATGATACCAAAATTAGACAACATTCACAAAATAACCATTTTATTAAAAAATTATCCAAAAAAAACATCACCGAAAATTTCTACAAAAAATATATTAAGTAAATATTAATAAAAGTAACAAAACATATTTGTATTTAATAAACTCGATATTAAAGGCCTACTAAGAAATATAAAAATTACAAATTAATACATATTTATAAGAAAAAAGATTATAATTGTGTATCTAATTGCCCTTTTTTTAATAAAAAAATTGGAGGTGAATTCTTTAAAAAAAAATGTTGCATGTTCATATATAAAATATTCTTTGTACCTTTTACCATCTAAATGATAAATGTTAAGTTTTTAAATCAGAAAACTTAAGTTTCATTAAGGAAATCGTCATTACTAGTTTGGGACCTGAAAATAAGCGATACGCCCTCTACAGGATGGCACAATAAGTTTGCTCTGTATGAAAAACTTTATTATCGATTTCTAACAAAATTTAATCTCATCATCTTAAAAAGAAAATGTAATAACCAATTTTTCATAATTGCAAAACATATAGAGGGAATTAAAAAAAATAAACTGTTTTTTTGTTAAAGAGTTAAATGTGTCTTTACTATTAACAAGACCAAACGAGAATTGTTCCATTGACATTGTGACAGTACTGGAACCGATTTCCGGATATCCGCATCTTCTTCTGGATCAATAACCTTTTTGAGAAGCATTTTGCGTAAAAATTACAATACCTATAAAACTTTAATATTTTTATCGTAAAAAGTTCGAAAAACGGCAACGTCGCAATTTCACGGTTGACAAAAACGCCTGTTCTGAGATTGTCGTTCCATGTTTCGGCACGAACTTTGCAAAAACGCCTCAAATGGCTCAAATTTGAAGTTTGAAGCGAAATTTGTGAATTATGCCGGAATATTTATAACAAGAATAATAAATTAACTAATTAATCTAATTATCTACTAGCTATCCTTTATGAGTCCTTTGCTATTTGCACTACGAAATGATAAAGTACAATAAATGAAATATAGCAGATTGACTATTGTAAGAGCTGTAAAAGTTGAATGAATCTGAGAATAAAATTGCAACAAACTCACCAATTACATATTCAATCGCCTCGCTAATAGTTATTTGCACAAATGGTTTCATTTTCACCTCATCTAACTAAAAAAGTTTAAGTTTTTCTTGTGAACTCACGAAACTCTTTTCGACGTTGGTTTTCGATGAATTTGGGCCGATTTAAAACGTCGAGTATTGGTAATACTAATACACTACACTTTATTAAGTTAATAAAACTTATTTTGATGTATTACAGATAGAATTTTATTAACAACAAGAACTAAATATTGAAAAATATTGATTTCTCAATAACCACAGAACACTCACTTTTCACTATATCTTGATTGACAGTTGACAGAAACCAAGGATTAAGACAGGATAGCTTATCTAGCCTATCACGGTCAATGAACTGGAGTTCATTGATCACGGTGAATATGGTGAATTATTCACCATTCAAATTATTTCAATGTGTTTAAAAATGCATTCGTTTTATTCTTTTCATCGTGCCGGTATTTTAAAAATGAGGTAAATGATATTTGAAAGATATGTTCAATTCTTGACCACATTTGTCGATATTTTCAAAAAATAAAGACAACACTTCAACAAAAAATCATAGTTTAGTTTTTGTAATTCCCTGTATATATTTTGCAAATATTAAAATCCAAGTATTGCATTTTATATTTTGGATGATGTACCACCTTTATCAAGAATTTCATGAAAAAATTGGTAGATGTAAAGGGCGCATAATATACAAAATATTGTCTTTGTATTAAAATCTACAAATATGTCTCTTTGAGTAGTTCCAATGTCAAGTACAGACGGCGCTATGAGCTACGATCTTAATTTCAGATCCCAATGCAGAGTATTCCAGAAAAATAAAAAATAAGCACCTTCACCATAAACATGTTTTTACTAATAAAATTTAAACTATTTCATTTCATTTCATTAAAATTTTAAAACTATTATAATATTCAAAATTTGTTGCCAAATTAGGGCCGATTCCACCGTTGTGTTAAACGGAGATTAAAATGACATTGTTAATGTAAAAATGTCATTTTAAACTTCGTTTAACACAACGGTGGAACCGGTACTTAAATACCTAGTGTCCCTTAAACAATAAAATTTGGAAAAATGTATAAAAATAGTTTTTTATCTATTAATTCATCTTTTCTGGATAGTAATTTTTGTGTATTCCTGAAACTTTAATGTATTGTATTTACTGTAATCAGAAAATGCAGTTTGAACTGAATTAAGTTTTCGGATTTGATAACTTTGAAATCTGTAAACCCGATACCCACTAATAACTTTTTGTAATCAAGGTAGTGTGTAAGCAGCGTACTTTCTTCTAATATACCTAATAAAACTAATAAGTATATCCCCAAAATACCTACACCTAAAGTGTTGACTTCCAATATATGTGATAAGGACGAAAATGTTACTGTTAAAACTATTGAAATTCTATTGTATTTTTATGGATGTATTCATTCATTCTTCTATTTATTGTTGAGTGTTTCCCTTATCTTTTTGACAATAAACCATATAACATAAACTTGTAGGTATCCAGCTTGGATGAGAAATTTTAAATATTTAAAATGGTACTATCATCAGTTTTATATCTACAAACGATGTAGGATATAAGCAACACACAATACAGAAGAGATAGTTGTTAGTTGTAAATAGGGTTGCCTAGTCTACAAATTCAAATCCAATATTTTTGTTATAAAATTTCTCATCTAAACTGTATAAAACCCACAAACCTATCAACTAAGTCTTCGCCAATATCCAATATATATCATGAAATGTTATTCGTAAAATTCTTGTAACTCAGTTATTTGTTATTGGTGAGGATGATGACAATTTTCTACTATCTACCACAAAATAGTTCCATCTATACCTATTTGCTTTATATATGCTGTGATACAATAAAGGGCACACACCTTATCCCATCACAAACGAGTTTTATTTCCTAAAATAATTCGTTCCTTTAATTTTTATATCCATATACTAGGTATAAGCTCAAAATTTCGAAAATCTAAATCTTTTCAAATTTTTAAAGGTCTACACAATCAGCAAATACTAAATGAGATGTTAATTAGTATGAACTCCCATAAGATTTTTGTGCAAACAAATTACGGATGAATTGTTCGCAAAATTTAGATCGAATTTTAACAGAAAATTAAGTTTTATTAACAGACTTCAAAAAAGGATGAGGTTCTCAATTCATTGTAATATTTTAGTTCAGCAATAATTATTCCATACGGTATCCGATTTCAATTATTCTTTTTTTGTTAGAAAGGGGGTACTTCAGAGGTGGTCCCCTATAAATTTAGTCAAGATGTGATGATGGCATCTGCACGATTTTGAAGTTGGTTTTTTAAAATTACTTTTATAAGGAACTTGTTTTTTTTAAACATCTTGGCAACCATTTGAGCTAGCATTGAATTTCACTCTATTGTGGATAATTCTTATAAATTGACATCAGGACATAGCCAGATAATATTGTATTGCATGATACACATTTTTTTTTAATATCAAATACGAATTACAAAAAAAACTTTTATTAAATAGAAATAAACAAATTCAAGCCAGAAAAATGAAATTATATTATCAGAATTCGAAATTTCAAGAGTAATTAAAAGAACTTAGAGCAGTCATTGTGTTAGGCTGCATATCCTCAGCAGTAGTAGTAATTACTAGTGACCGTACCTAAAACAAATTTAACAATATCACACCTACAATTATCAAATAGCAATAATTAACTTACTTTTGGAATTCCCATTCTCTATTGTCTAAAGGACACACTTGTCTCGTCTTCAACCATCTCGATATGCAATGAAAGTGAAAGGCATGCTGAAAAAATTGATTTTAATTTCACTGCGGTATACAAATTTTGGATGATACTTACATTACATACTCCCCAGGCTACTGTACATTCTTCGCTAGTGGCAGAAGCTTGATTAGCTTGACATTCAATACATAAATCCATTATATGATTGCGGCAAATAGCACAGTTGTCCACAACAATATCTACGAATCATATAATTAAATTTCACAAATCTAACATAATTATAAACTTACCCCAAGCCCAAAGTGCAACGGCATTCCACTAGAACAAAATAATAATACAACCATTGATTTTGTAGGTTAAAACGAATAAATACCTTTTTAACTTCAAATCGTTTCTTCTCTCCCTTCGAGCTACTAGAAGTTGGTAATTCGATTTCTTCAGAATCGACGTCCATAGCAGTGGCCATTCTGAATTAGGGAAAATCAAATTAATCTTTAAAAAACTTTAAAATAGAGGATTTTTAGAATGACAAAACAAAACCTCATAGAATGACAGTTAGTTTGACTTTTTATTTGTAGAGATGGTAATATTATTCCAGTTCCTGGAACAGGTATTACAATATTACAAACCTGCTCTAAAAATGTTTCGATACTTTTTTTAGCTCGTCTAGCTAAACACCATCTTTAGGCGAGTTCGGATAGTCAGGGGCTGGAGCGGGACAAATTTTAGGCTGCTTTTAAATGACATTTAAGCGTGTTAAATTGTCACTAATCGTACTAAACCGAACACTAAAAGGGTCGTTTGGAGTTAAAAGTGTTAAAGGAGTTAAAGGAACTTGGCAGACCGAACGCAATGTTTGTTCATCCAAAGATATGACAATTGACAGTATAGACAGACGACAGTTCATTGATGGTTACGAATGTCAGTGTCAGTACAGTCAAAATCAAAGTGCAGAAAGTGAAAAATAAGATTAAATCGAAATTCTTCGACTAAAATATTCCATGTAGATTATTCCAACTCCGAAGTCATGATTATTATTTAGTTACAATTAGAGACGACAATGAATTCGACAACTACAGAAACAAACTCGGATACTGGGGGCCTGCATTGCTCCAAAGATGCCTTAACAAATATGTTCGGATGGTTTTTACAAGTCCTTTTAGCCTCTTTGGCGTTTACGTGTCTAATTGGTAAGCGCCCTATTATTATATTTGATGTAACTTTTAAATTAGTGGGCCAAACTCAATGACAAGGAGCTCCTTATGTTTTCATGTAACTTATCTATTGGGATATATATTTTTGTTAATTAAACTCTATATTTTAGCCAAACGATTTTGCGAGCCAAGAGGGGAAAGAAGATCTTGGTTAATTTGGTTTTATGATACATCGAAACAGGGAATGGGGGCAATGGCAATACATTTAGCTAATGTTTGGTTAGCTGGACAATATAAGGGTGATCCTTGCACCTGGTAACTATTTATTTCACATTAATTGATTTATATTAAATTATCATTGCTTATTACTGTTATTGCATACCTTTGCAACAAATTGGTATCTTGTATATTATTATTCTTATCAAGAACATTAACTGAGTGTTGTGTAATGTTTCAGGTATTTGATAAATTTTTTATTAGATTCGTCTTTAGGTCTTTTGATAATTTTTATTGGAATAAGACTTAGTCAGTACTTAGCCAGGACAAAAGGTTGGGACAACATTAATTTTGGGGAATATGGTAAGTTTATTATGTTATTTTTTAGTATATTGGGATTATTTTTAGTAATATCTCAGCCTCCAGCCAATAATTGTTTGCTGAAATGAAGACCTTTATTGATTATGTAATTATTTTAAATTCTTTATTTAGCTTTGCCAATAGTACAGTTTTTACAACAATAAGTATAGTTTATACATTATGTATAGAGTCTAAATATGAATAGAAAAAAAAAAAACAAATAAATTAGTGTCTAACTATGAATAAAAAAAAATATATATACATGTAAAATATAAAATTATATGTATATCTACAATTAAAATCTCTATATCTAAAATTAATTTTTTTTTATTTATACCCTCTGTGTCATCATAATATAGTTTTTAAGTTTAAAATTATTTAATGAGGTAGCAGTTTTAATTTCAACTGGTAACTTATTATAAGCTTGTACACCCTTGACAAAGACCGAATTTTGGGCATTCCTACTTATAACATGTCGAATATGAAAATTAGTCCGATTTCTTGTATTATAATTGTGAAATTGAAAAATGTAATCTATTTTTTCAAGTAAGTATGAAGGCATCATTTGTAATTGAATTTTAAAAATAAAAATTAATGTTAGGTATAGAATGTAATTTTTAACTGACATCCACTCAAGATCCTGTAACATTGTTTTTATATGAGTTCTTTTATCACAAGAAAGTATTATCCTCATTGCCCTATTTTGAAGTTTCTGCAACCTGTTTATTTCATTGTGACACAATACGTAAAATGGGGCAGAATTAAACTATTATAAAGAAGCTTTAAAGACCATTGGTTAAGATGTTTTGAGCATCTATATAAAAAGCTGATTTTAAATGATATTGTTTTAATAACATACTTAGCATGTTCTTTAAATAGTAACATATAGTCAAATATGACACCCAGATATTTAAATTTTTTAACAACTTCAATATTACTATTTTCTATATTTACTTTTAGGTTACTAATATATTCTTGATAGTTTTTGTCATTTCCTATAATCATGAACTTAGTTTTATTGTTATTAATTTTTGAAGAATTAAAACAGCACCATTGAAATATTTCTTTTAGTGTGTTATTTATATTTTCAATTATTTCATGTAACTTGTCTAAAGCAAATAAGATAATGTAACAGTTTCCTGCGACACGTGCTATATCATCAATGTACAGGGTTTTTCATTATATTTTGACCACTACTTATTTTCATTATTCTTGTGAACACAAAAAGTTTCAAGTAAAAGCTTTGTTGTTTTACCTCAACTTTTTCGGCCACAGTATAACCCATTACAAGCAATCAACTGACAACTTTTAATTAACAAACAACTGTTTTACTTGCAAACATCATTTTCATAGCCATCTATGTGTTACGCTTTCATAGTGCAATACGTCACTAAATAATTAAAATATTATATATTTGTAATCAGGAAATGCAAGTCTACTTAAAATGAAAAAAATATATAGGATGTCCCATTAAAAGAATGAAATTATATTTTGTTGGAGTCGCGCTGTCTATACAATTCTGCCAGTCATTACATTTTTAGTTGGTACAAGTAAAACAACAAAGCTTTTACTTAAAACTTTGTTTTGTGTTCGCAATAATAATGAATATAAGTAGCGGTCAAAATATAATGAAAAACCCTGTACAAGAGGAACAATAATGGTCCCAACACACTTCCTTGCGAAACACCTGTTCATTTTGGATTTCATCTGAAGTAATGTTGTTAAACTTTAGCTTCTGTTTTCTGCTATCTAAATAATTTATTAACCACTGTAATGCATCATCAACTATTCCAAAACTTTCTAATTTACTAATAAATAATGTATGATCTACAGTTTCGAATGCTCTTTGTAAATCAAGAAATAGAGCACCAGTAATTAATTTATTATTTTTATTTTGCTTGAAGTGATCTAGGACGTATTGTATTGCTGTTTCATAACTATGCTTTCCTCGAAAACCAGACTGTATACTATTAAATAGATTATTTTCCTCCAAGTAATGAATAAGGTGATTATAAACAAATTTTTCTAATACTTTCTCTATTGTACTTAGCATATTAATCGGTCTTAAGTCTGCTGCTCTATTTGAATTTGAGACTTTAGGGATTGGTATGATAACTGAAGTTTTCAAGGCTGTAGGAACTATATTCATTTCTAAGGAGGTGTTTATGATATTAAGCAATGGCAACGCTATGTTTGCAAAACAGTTTTTTAAAACGGACACATTTATTTCATCCGAACTTCCTTTATTGGGTAAGTCAAAAATAATTTCTCTCATTGTGTCAATGTCAATGAAGTTAAATTTCTTAAAAACCACATGATTATTCTTAAGAGCTACAGGAAAATTTCTATTATTACGATTTATGTTAGAAATAGTTTCTTTTATACTATCAATATAAAAGTTGTTAAGGGCATTGGGGATCTCAATTATATCTTTTATTATTAAATTATCATTTATCTCTATTTCCGTTAAGCTATTTTGTTTATTTTTAGGCAAAATGCCTTTCATAACTTTCCAAAGAGTTTAATAGAATTTTGTTTATTTTTACTTATATGCCGTTCATAATATTTACTTTTTTCTTTTCTAATAACTCTTAACTGCTATGTTTCGATTTTGTTTGTATATTTGCCTATTTTCTTCAGTTTTGTTAGATACATACCTTTTATAACTATCATCCCTATTCCTGATAGCATTTCTGACTTTCTGATTCCACAAGTCTTTATAATTAGAAAATATCTTAACAGTTCTTTTTGATGCCACTTCATCAAATACTGTCATTAAATGTTGGTAGAAGTTAATATATCTCTCATTAATATTGGTAGTATAATTCCATTTGACCTGAGATAACTTATAATTTATTTTTCAAAATAAATTACTCTACCCTCGACTTTCTATTGTTTGAGACTTCTTATTATTAATTGGTTGAAAATCTCTATACACCTCGACATTAAAATGGGTACTTATTTTAGGAGTGAGACAAATTTCAGTCCTTATATTTAAACAGTTGGTTATTACTAAGTCAATAAGTGTGCCTCCATTGTCATTGTTAGCAGAATGAGTAATTTGAGTTACCACATTTCTAAAATCTATATCACTAATATAGTTTCTTAGTCTATAACTATTTGAGTTATCAGATAGCCGATCTACAGGGTGTTAAAAAAAAAGTGTCACAAAATGAAATGGTGAATAGTATGACCCAAAATAAGCAGAAAAGTCTTAATAAATATATGACCGCAAATTAACGGTTTCGGAGATACGGACCATTTTGTGTTTATAACAATTTTTTATTATTATAAAAAAACAATGATATTTATAAACAATCAATAACAACATAGAGTTAAATGAGATGTTCAAAGTGCCCTCCCTCCATTTCAATGCATTGCCATTTGCACGACCGTACATAAAATGCATGTCAGCTAATTCAATATTGGTGTAAACAGGCATAACGAAAATTTATAAAATTATTCACCCACAACAAAATAATAACTGCAAATAGTATCTATGAAAAAACATCGGAAGACTCCGATAAGAAAAGCAAGTTTTTGAGAATGAAAAAAGATAATCAAAAAATGATACAAAACACAAAACACTCCGTATCTCTGAAACCATTAATTTGCGGACATATGTTTATTAAGACTTTTCTGCATATTTTGGCCCATACTACCCCCCGTTTTATTTTGTGACACTTTTTTTTTAACACCCTGTATATTAAAATTCCCCTTACAATTATCTTATAGCTACTATCACATAAAAAACTATCTGAAAAACTTTCAAAAAAATCCAAAAAGTCTGAACATATACTGTTAGGTGATCTGTATAAACTAACAATTAAATGAATACAGTTTTCAAAATAAAATCTCACTATCTACTCTGTATATATCAAAATTATTTATTGTAATTTCAGAATCAAAAATATCCTCTGTAAGCCGTGTTTCAGACAAGCATACTATCCACGGTCTTTTTACCACAACTATTGCAGATATTTCATCAAAATGACAAGGCAAACTTTGTGCATTCATTGCCAATATAAAGCATATTTCATTTGAAAGATTAGATACATTATCTGTTAAATTATTAAAACTCATAACTCTAGTTGCTAAATCTCTATGATTTCCGAAGAGCGCGTCAGAAAATTTTCTTGGTGATTTATTTTAACAAATTTTAGGTTATTATGAGGCTTTGGCTTGTTTAGGTTTTCTAATAATTTGGCAACCAGTGAATTTTTAGTTCCGTTTTTGTTATTAAAATCTATATATTGAACAGATGATTCTGTGCATTTATTTAATTTAAAAAGATATTCATTTAGTCTACAATTAAATTTATAAATAAATTAGTTGACATTAAAATCTTTACAATAAGGTATTGACAATAAAAATAAATTTGTATGTAGGCAAGACTTCAACTTACTATTTAAATTTCTAAATGATGGACATCTTTTATTCCGAAAATAATTTGAACCCCCTATTATAATAACAGTATCATTTAATGTATAATTCTGTGTTTACTGTGGCAAACTTTCAATTATATTATGATAACAAGCAAAGGGTTTAATGATGGTCTGTACACTTGCATTTTTGTAATGATTCCTTAACATTTGACCCAAATTATACCCAAACTGATCACAAACAATTAAAATCTTGCATGCCTTCGGTTCATTTACCGTATTTGTAGCAACTTGAATGGGATCCTTTGTGCTTCCGTTGTTCTCTGAAGATTTTTCATTACAGCTTTTTGGCTTAAGATTGGAGTTTCTTGATGTATCAGAGATTTTTAATTGTAATTCCTGTCTCAAATTGTTTAATTTCTTCAGATTACTATTATTTTCCTGTTCCAACATTTTTATTGACTCTACCATTTGTCGACTAATCTGCTCTAATTCCATAATTCTATTTTCCATTGTTAAAACTAACTGATTTTTATTTTCCAATTCATTTTCACACAATTTTACAGTCTCTTGTAGTTCAGTAATTCTGCTTTTTAAATTCAATATTGTATCTATTTGATTCTTTAATTCTGTGCATCTCTGCTTTCTAACTCAAACACGTCATCTTCAAAGTCCAGAGTATATTTCTTTAATAAATCCAATATGTTATAATACATTGTTTAAAATTTAATTTTTATTGTTTTTGAAATTGTAATATTGATATTGGCATCAGCATCAGATCTGCTTTGATTTATTTCAAAAATATTTACTATATTTTTCTATAAACATGTGTTATTGATATACAAGGTGTTGCATTTTTGTATTAATTTAATAGAAATAATAACATTGTAGTAATTAAGACATAAAAGTAGTACATTTCACTTACAATTAGGGGTTGTTTATTACAAAACAATTCAATATCTTGAATTGTGACGTATCATTTTCGTTATTTTAGGTAAACCACCCTCAGCGAATGCATGGATGACGCAGTGTTGCCTTTACGTCTGTCTTATGATCATAGTGAAAGTATCCATAACGCTGTTCATGCAATTGGACTTTTGGGATAATGTCAAAGCTTTTATCCTGTCTCCCATACCTAATCAGAATGTCGAAGTGGCTTTCGTCATGTTGATCATACCTTTCTTTATAAATGTAAGTGAGTTTTTCAATCATTGTTATCACTGTATCATTAAAGCACTAAATCAGTAGATTTTAAGGTCGTTTTTTGAATAATGGAGATTATTTCTTCTGGAGTTGTTGGAAAGAGAAAGAAACTTATATGGAAATTATTTATTTTCATATTATACTTATAGGAGTAGTGTTAGTTTGACTTACATTAATAATATAATTTGGCAAAAATGCTTTTTGTCCAAATTACCCTTATTTTTGTCAAAAATTACTCCCATTTTGTTAAAAATTGTCAATTTTTTTTCCAAAAGTGGCCCCAGAATTGTCGTAATTTGCCATTATTTAATTGTAACTTTTCTAAAGAATAAAATTGAAATTAAAAAGATATTTTTTTCAGTCCATCCGGGATAAACTTTTTTAAAAATAAAAGTTTTCTTTTTGGAATTCATAACTTTGGTATGTTTTTTTTAGATGTTAATGTTTTGGGTGACTGACAATTTCCTTATGTACAAAGATCCGGCGAAAAGGAGAAGATTGAGCAGTTCGAGCGACGGACTGTTGAGGAAGCTGCATGTGAAATATCGATCATTGGCTAGGAAGAGACGGCGCGATTCTGAAAGCGACGTCTTGTTATCGGCCGATGATGAGCTTTTGGATAGTGAGACGGTACCGATAGCCAGGACCGTACACGCTTAGTATTATCTGAGGTTAGTATCTTTTTTTTTATTTTTCTGTCTACTATATGGATCACCTTGTAGTAAACAATGTTTCCATTCTAATCTTTATATTAAATAATGTTACAGGATGGCTCAAAAATTTGAAAACATTCAAAATTATTTTTTGTCTTGACTTTAAGGTTTGTAAATATTGTTTTATTCAAGGTGTTTTATGAGGTAAAAAATGTGAATGATGACATCAATAACATGTACAATCGTTTAATTTTTCAGGATCAAATATTTAGTTTAACATTCCATGGATTTAATTGACAGTGCATACCAAATTAAGGGATAGATACTAAGGACCTTTTGTAGAATTGTGATAATATTTTTTAACAACTATTAATTGTACTATTTTTAAAGATATTTAAATCGATTTTTTTTTGTAAATATTTCCAAATTTTTATAATCTATGAAATAAAATGAGAAAAAGAATAAGATTAAAAAGAATCACAATTCTACAAGAGTTTTTGTATTATACATAATTTCTTATTTCACGAAAATAGACTTCTATTAAAATTAATTAAACTGTAATTTTTACAGTCTCTTCATTTTTCAAACCATTAGGTATTTTTGCATTTTAAAACCATCAAAGACACATCAGCATATAAAAAGAAATCAACGTTTGGAAAATATATTTCAACATTATTTGGAGTATAAAAAGATGTCTATTCACTCTTTGTATCATAAAAATTAAAAAATTAATAATCGATTGATTGAAAATAATCGATTATGTGATGAATCGATTATTTCATGAATCAACTATTCATTTATTAGTCGGATTACTTTGGATTAATTTCAATTAATCGATTATTTTCGATTAATCGATTATTTTTGGTTAATCGATTATTTTATATTAATCGATTAATTACGAATAACCGATTATTTTCGATTAATCGATTATATTTACGATTCATAGATTATATTTTTTTATTAATCGATTATTTTTGATTAACCGATTATTATCGATCAATTAGTTATCATGTGGGGGATACAAAGTTGTCTATTTACGCTTTGAATAATAAAAATTAAAAAATTAATAATCGATTGATTGTAAATAATCGATTGTTCCATGAATCGATTATGCGATGAATCGATCATCATAAAAATTAAAAAATTAATAATCGATTGATTGTAAATAAACGATTGTTTCATGAATCGATTATTTCATGAATCGATTATTCATTTATTAGATGGATTACTTTGGATTAATTTCAATTAATCGATTATCTTCGATTAATCCAGAAATCGGTTAAACCAGAAATCGATTAAACCAGAAATCGATTTTTTTTCCATTAATCGATTATATTTACAATCCATAGATTATATTTTTTTTATTATTCGATTATTTTTGATTAACCCATTATTTTAGATTAATCGATTATTTTCTTTTAATCGATTATCGAATTTTCAAAAAATAATTCTTTTATTAATCGATTATTTTTCCCACCCCTAATTAAGGGTGTAAATGTAAAATTTTCACAAATATCGAGACATTTTCTTTAAAACCAACCACCGACAATATTGTGTTCAAAATCGTAATGTTTTTTTGAATAATAATGAATTACAACATTCGCTGATGATGGCAGAATAAATGTGTCGAAACTTCGTGAAATAAGGGATTATTTATATTCGTTTTATTAGTTTTTTTTTTCTATCTCGCTTAGTGGGTGAGTAAAATGTGATATGTAACGTTTAAGTCAACGATTTTTGAGATTAAAAAAATGCATATTTTTTTATTATATTCATTTCTTGACTGATTTTTTTTTTAATATACTTAGCTACTTTAATTGGTGCCTTATGGATCATTACGATTCGGTACTTTTGTGCATAAATCGTTCAATAGTTTTGAAACAATACGCTGGTTCTCCCTAAATTCAAAAAATTGTTTAACCACCCAGTAACTTTTCTTGACTATCCTGTATAAATATTAAAAAAAAATTAAATAAACGCCGAATGCCCGCTGGTTCTTCGAATTTATATTTTTTAAAACTACATCTTAGCATTAACCAATTTTTTTATTAAAAATAAGATTTTTTGATCATAAAAAATAACCTTAAAAGTTTATACAAATAAATTTCGTATAATCATTATATTAAACTAAAAATAATTATATCAACGTTTACCATAACATATCGATGGCTTTTCGTAATCAAAAAAGAAATTAATTAATAATAGATGGCTAGGAACTTCAATCATTTATAAAAATGACCATGTCAAAAATGGTTATCGATTGACAAAACACGGAACCGTGACATTTATTAGAAATAGGACCCTGGAGGTGGAAGAAAAATAACTATATCGTATATTACTAATATATTTGTTTCTGAGGGTGGTTAAAAAAAGTTGCTGAGTTGTCAAACTCAATATATACATTATGTTAGACACATCAAATATTTAAAAATACAAATTATAAGATTTTTGCACAACGTAACCGAATGTCGTTTTGAGTAAAGTGTTTTATGATCAAAAACTTATCCTAGTGAAACAAAATCCAAAGTCCAAATGATAGATACAATGTCGGTATAAAATTATCCGTTTTGGCGTTTATATTTTTAAAAGGAGCGAATTTTAGATCTGAAACATACGTTAACGGTGATTTAATACGGCATTGTAAATGTCTTGAATGTAGGTACTCAGGATGGCCTTAATGTCATTAATAAAAATACTTTTTGTTTAAATAAAAAAAAGTGCCAATTGGTTTTTAATTATTGTAGATTGAATATAAGGCCGTCCTGTTTGTGATATACAATATATAAGAAAATAAAGTAGATTTGTTGATAGCTATATAGGTACGTAGTAATTAGTAATTAGCTTTAATTGACATATCAATAAAGAGGAGGAAATTTAACAATAAAAAATAGAGTTTATTTAAGAATTATTTTTGTTATATATAATTTTTTTATGTAATCCTTGGTTGTTTGTGAAAATCACACAATACAATCCTTATTTCAATTCTGTCCGTTTCAATGACAAGTGACAGATGCCATACTTAAATCGATTTCTATACTTTCTATAGAAAAGGTGTGTTCTTTTATTCAACAATTGTTCCATCAGTGATTGATGTCATGACGTCACTGATTAATTTCTGGTGGGAGGTATTTGCGCTGAAAATAAGAACGAACGACATTTCTCAAGTGAAAAATTTGACGTTTGACATCGCTTCAAAAATTAAACAGGTTTTAATTTAAATTTACCGTAATTTATCTCTTCTGCAGGCGTTTTATATTTAAACTCTTTTAAAGCCGATGGATGCGTTGGCTCATTGATGAATTCACCGCTGGAAAAAAGAACGATTGACACATACAATCGTCTTTCCATCGCTTAATTTACGAACGGTTTGCTGCAAGCACTGGATACAGCGCTGAATAAAAGAACACGCTTAAAGTGAGTAAATGTTAATTGATTTGTGTTCTTTTGAATGTTTATCAACTTAACTAATCAATATAAAAACAGGACCATATTAATATGATTTTCATAAACAATAAATGTATTTATTTAGTCATTCTTTTATATAATTTATACCATATTATCCTAATAAGAATATAAAACGTTTTTTCTACAATTTCATTAAAAGTTCAGTGTTAAAAGTGTTATTTTATGAGAAAATTGTCTATAATTCACTTATAACACTACTGTCACTTATGTCAAATCGAAACTGTGAGAACGTCAAATTATAGAATTTGGAGAAAAATAGTATATAATCCATACGTTAAAAGTCTTTTAATTTTGTTTAAAGGATTTTTCAGCTCGCTCCGCTCGTTTCAAAATGTTCCCCTTTTACAAAATGTAATTGAACTTTTAACATTTGTATCATAAATATTTTTTTAAATACAGTGCAACCTCTTTAATCCGATCACCTAATTGTCAGACCTTGTTCGGATTACGAATATACAATAAAACACCTCTTACACATCTATGTATATTGATTTTTGTACATTTAAATGCATTATCAAACTACATATGGGCGACGCGGGCCGCGCTGCATGCAGGTCTTTTCCTGTCAGCGTTCGGATTACAGAGGCGGCGTTCGGACTATTTCGCATCACGATTTGCGTTCGGTTCGAATTAGCGTAATTCGGATTAGCGTGGGTTCGGATTTTAGCGTGGGTTCGGATTATCGAGGCTGCACTGTATTTTGTTTTTGTTCTGTCTAGATTAGAATGGTAAGTAACATTATCATATATTGAATTTAATCGATTTTTGACTATGTGTAAACTTACATCGATTTAATATTTTTTTGTTTGTTAAAGTTTCTGTTTGTTTCAAACGTTTTAGAAATATAAGTTACCAATTTACAATTTAAATTATTTTTTACTTACCTGTATGCATGCAAATCTACGAACATAAGTAAAATTGTACGTCTGTACTTATGTATGCCGGCACGATAACTCTAGAACGAAAACGCCGATCGACTTAGATTTTCAGAATTTTCAGTTCAACCTAAGTACTTTAAACTTTATTCTTTTTAAAATTCAATGCATTTCTTATGGAGCCTATTTTATTCACTCCAACATGTATACAAATTTCACACCTAAATAATTTAGTTAAAGTACCGCATTTAAAAAAAAGTTGAGGAGCTGCCTCCTTTTTGCATCGAAAAGTAATCTGAAATCTAAACTAATTCATTATTAAATAAAATAACCTTAATTTTTACAATTTTATTTAAATAAAAGTAACATAACTAAGTATAACTTTTATTATAGTCAATTCAACATCTGTGAAACTGCGACCACTGAACACACTGAAGGGTAACTCAGCTTGGCGGGAAGAGTCCGCGCATCTCAGTTGGCGCATATCAAATCGCCATTATTTAGGGTTCCGCTACGATGATGACAACGATTTATTATCACAGTGGTCGGAATTTGGGGGACATTACAGGGCCGCACTCAGGTCCATCTGCTAATAACTATTGTGACGAAAGTCTAATTTATTTATAGTTTATTTATTTAAAAACACACTATTTACAATTTATTTCAGACGTACTATTTAATTTATGTAATATTTAGACACTAACTAACAATTCTAATTTATTTCTTACACTTTAACTTTTCAATACATGTCCTCCATTAAACTAAACTCGGCGCTGATACGCCGGCTATTTATATTAGTTCAACTCCGCTACTGGAAAATGCTAGAGGCTTCCGACAGTCGACTCGAACATTCCATTCCTATGAATAAAAGGCACTCTCTGCCGTTCCAGCTGTTTGGTGCGTCAGCGGCAGGCATCTCGTCGTTTCTTGTTCATTCGAGAAGTGGTCCGATTGTTTCCACACGTCATCGTTGCTCCGATCACGAGCTGGTTGCGTACGTAGACAGAGACGGACTTAATAATTTCATAACACTATTTAATGCGTCTGTAAATTTTATTTGTAACATTAACAAGCGATTCATTGCCGTTAAAACTGATCTAAGGTAACACTAGGGTTTTAAAGTAACTTGTGCATACATTTTGTATTATAAATAAATTTTTTGTTTTCATTTGTTAAACAAAAAAGTTATATATTGAACAATTTGTAGTTTTATTAAAAACTAATTAATGCATACAGAATTAAATCGTATAAAAAGTAATTTAAAATACAAATAAGGAGCAAACTAAGTTAAAAACGCATTTTTTGTGGCAGAGCATTGGTGTAGAAACAAAACAAAATTGACCTTGCTAACGAGAAGTTTTAAATTTAAATCTGGTCTAAAGCTTGATTTTATGTGT